TGCGCTAATGGGACGTCCGTTGGTAGCACCGGAGAAGCGTCGGTTTACCGCAGAGAACCGGCGGCTTTGCTAGAATTTCTGCTCAAGAAGTTATTACCGCGAGCGCGGCGGTGGAACCTACGTCCGGACGGTGGCCTTTTTTTCCAGCGGAGGCCCCGACTACTGTTGGCCATCGGGTGATACCCCGCGACGTACCGCTATTATATTACGGAGATTACGGGTTAAAGGAACAGGAGGTACGCACGGAGAACGAGCGCGAGCCGCTTCTCCGGACGCGTTGGTAACTAAGTGAACTATTGACCGTGGATTATCGACTGGCAAACGCGGTGAACTCGACCAGGCAATTACGACTGGGAGAACATAGCCCGTGGTGGCGTTCCTCCCTACCCCAGGACGAGTAAATTTCATGAATTTTCATCGCGAGAACTTTCGAGCCGTCTTGGGGGCGATCGTAATTTTGCAACGAAGATGCGAAAACGGTCTCGACGATTTGCAAAAAAAAAAAAAATTGTTGCTCGATCGCGAACGCGGATGCGTCGAGGAAACGGTCGATCGGGCAGCGGCGTCGCCGGTGACGCTCCGTTTTTTCCTTTCGGAGAGGACCGCTCCTCTCGCCGGGCGGATTCCTAGCAAATCGGCCGACCGGTCGACATCTTGCCCTTTTGAAATTCCTCCGGATCCGACAGGTCATCCGTTATGGATTCTCGTTCCCAGGTAGCGCGTCTCCGACCACCCAGGTCGCGGCGATCGCGACGCGCTCTCATCCGAGCGGTGGTCTCGAGAATTCGGGCTAACCCGAATTCGAGAACCCGCCGGGAAAACGACTCGAAAATGTCACTTACGTTGGCGAGCGTTACATAAAACGATCCTCCGGTCTGAAAATACGGGCGCTCTCTCCATTGACTTTCCCGGCCGAGAAATAGTTTCCCCTCGTTACGCGGACGTTGAGAATTTCCCCGAAAAGGCCCAACGAGGGGACCGGTCGAAACAAGTCGCGTTTCGAGCGATCTCCCTCGAGGGCGAAGAATTCGCGTTATTACCGAGGAGTCGAGTCGCATGCTCGGAGTCGTGACAAGGAGGATTCACGGCACCCGTTAGATGGACACGTCGGTTCGCACGGCTGTGGCAGTTCGTAGTACTCGGCCGTGTACTCGTGCTCCCCCCACTCCGCCGCTTCCCCTCCGGTCCCCACCCCTCGGCCCCTCCCCTCCCGCAGCCAAGCGCCACTGCGAGCGAGGCTGCCTGCCGCGGCGTTGCCAAGTGTCCCGGCCATCTGTAACTGGTCCTCCCGTATATTGGTTTAATATTCAATACGGTTCACGGTGCTACCACGTAATGACAGCTGCATAGAAAACTTAAGGGCCGTCCTCTCTCGCTCGCCGAGCGTCCGGCGCTCGCGCCTCCGCGATTCGACTCCGACCTCGAAACGTCCTCTCTTCCTCCCAATCCGGGGCGAGCGTTTCCCTCTACCGCGGGAAATCAGAGCTCGCGGCGTCGCGTGGGCAAAATTCTAATTTCCCGCCCGAGATTCGACCCGGATCGATCTACGCGAGCGCGGAGGCGTTCGCCGACGGAGAAGGCGCGCGGGGGGGAAATCCTGGAAATTCGATACGATACCGGGAAATCGCAACCTGTGCGCCCTTCCGCTCGCAGCGCCGCGACCGGACCCGCGCGGAACCCCGTGAGAAATAAAATCCCGTTTAGCGACGCAATAAGTTCGAGCGTTGATTTATGCCGGTGCGTCGGGGTCGATGATGCTTTGTGTGCGAAGTACTATTGATTCGCTCGCGGGCATAATGGGCATCCATATTTGATTTTCAAGCACGAACCGTAGTGGCGCCTCCACCGGCGAGAGATTCGAACGAGCGCCCCCACGAAATACCGACGTCGAGCCGTGGATCGCCGTATATTCCGCGTTTCCCGTATCCACTCCCCCGGGGGAGACCTCGGCGTCGGGGGCCGCGCGTCCTCGACCGAGGGGCGTCCTTGGCCTTCGGAAAAGGAGGAACGAAAGTTCCCCCCGAAGAAGGTCAAAGTGGCCGCGTCGGGAGTCCCTTGTTCTCGGTTTAGGGCGGCTAGGTGGTAGCGATCGCGGCGAGCCGACTACGAATAGCCGAGGCGGGACTGGGAGCGATGACCAGATGCGCCGATGGTTCGTACGGCTGGACGACCCAACGGACGAAGCGCCGGTGGTATTCGCTCGTCCGAGCCGCCGAGCTTTTCCGTTCTTTTCTCGCGCGGGCCGCCAGCTGTCGCCCCGAACTTTCGAACGAGCCGGCTCGGACTTCTCTGACCCGCTTCGCGAATCCAAGGTCGGAGGTCGAGCGCGTAGGAGAAGCGACGAGAAACGGGCCGATCGAAAAAAAAAAAGAAAAAAGAAAAAAGAGAAAAAAAATTGGATTTTCGCCCCCGAAAGGCGGAGCCCCTTCGGGACGAGCGCGAAAGGCTATTTTCGGGCCGCCTCGGGGAAGGATCCCGAGTTCCACGCCGCGCACCCGTCCGGAGATATTTTCGGCCCTCCTCGAGGAAGTGCAGGAAACGGGCGGAGAGCTCGGAAAAAGTTGGACAAAAGCCTGGGACGCAGTGTTCCTCGATGACGTCTCCTCGCGCCGGATCCCGTCAGGAGCGACCGCGACCGCGAAAAACCGACGCTCTCCATAAGGGGCGAGGGATCGTCGATTCCCGTACCTATCGCTCGCCACTCGCAGAGTAGAAAATATACTTTCGAGCCTAACGGGATAACGGCGCCATATTGACCCGGCCGGTCTATTATTTTTCCCCCGGAACCGTCCGTCGCCGCCGCGCGGCGTTTCCTGTCGGCGTCGCCTAGATAACCGAACGAGAGCGAGCGCCCCGTCCCGTTACGGGATTCTCCCGGTCGAGCGATTTCCCGAAAACGCCGCTCGCCAGTCAATTCTCTGGCTGATCTCCGGAATGCATTCGGTAGAGAATTTTTCGACGCGGCCCGTCCCATAAATGGCACAACCCTCTCCAGAAATAACCCGTCCAGATTTGACCGAGGATACCGCTCTCGAAGCTTTCAGGAATGTCGTAAACACCGAGTCAAGCGGCCCTGTCACCTGCGCACGATGCCGTAAAATAGTCCCCATAATGGGAAACTGTTATCGAGAGGACTTTCCGGCAGTTGATATTCGCCTCGCGGTCGCGCGGGAATAATTAGGGAATAAATCACGTTTGAAAGTCGGCGTCCCGCGTCCCGCGGACGAAGAGGTCACGTCCCCGAAACCGAATTCCCGGTGGCGCTCCGCGCGTACCTCGCCACCGAGACCGACGCTCGACGTCGCGTCCGAGCCGATGGCCCACCAGGGTCGCGCATCGAACTTCCCGTCGAGGGAACGCAAAGGAGAACCGCTTCGTTCCCCCTAACGCGAACTCTTCAATGGCGGCCGTTCCAAGCTGGAAGCATCCCACGAGACGGGAAGTCGAAGGAGCGCGAGGAGAGCTTTCCGTCTCGCCTGGAAGAGGGAAGAAGCGGTAGAAAGAGGTTTTCTCGGAACACGGCCCCTTTCGCGGTGGCTCGAGCACCGACACTATTTCCGATCCCTCCGCCATTGTCGCCATTGACACGGTGCTCGCACGGAAGATAAGCAGCGTCGGCGGAGCGGCCATTTATATATAGTATATAATATACACGTCCCCTTTGTCCCGAGTCGACAGAGGAAACGTTCCAAAATTAAAGCCGCAACGGACGACGCTCGACGTCGTCGACTTAACCGAGTGGCGCCCTTTTTATCCCCTAAAGGACGGGCCTCTAACGAGGAGACCTCGAGGTCCGGACGGCGTCGGAGGGATCGGCGCTTCCGGTCGGATCCGCCCCGGAGACGCTTAATTCATTTTTTAAACGTATTTAAAAACGAAGGGAAATTCCCGCGCTGCGGGAAATACCGATCGGACGAGTCGCGACCCCGAAAGTGTCATATTTAGGGCCGTTCGCGCGGAATGGACTCAATGGGCGGATAAGAGGGGACCCTCCGATGCCCCTCGACCTTTAGGGCGCGAGCTCGTCGAAACGACCGGAGCTTGGTTAAGCTCGTCGAGCGGGATCGCTTCGCCTCAAATTGATTGCGGTTCCTTTCGGGTCGTCCGATGAGGGACTCGTCCTTCCCCCGAAGTGTCTCGAGCTCGATAAGAAGGCGCGATGGGAGTCCTTCGGTGGAAAGTTACGTCGATTCGGTGACACCGTTCCGCATAATGCACCGATGACGCGTCAAGTCAGCGCATGACAAGGCGGGTTCCGTCTGGTTCGGCGGTGGGCCGAGGGCGTCGCGTGGCGCGGGGGGTCGGAGGGGGTCTCGGGGTCGGCGGGGTCGGCGGGGCGGGGGCGGAGAAGCTCTCGGAGTCCGCGTCTCGGTCGGGTCTCTCTCGCTCTCCGCTCCTGGCTCGGCTCCGAGGAGATCAATAGGGATCCTACACCCCGTCGGGTTCTCCTTCGTCGTCGTGGTAGGAGGACACAAAGGTACTCTCGGTCCGATCTTCCGCGCGCGTTCCGCTCGTTTTGGTCGCCACGTATACCGAGAGACGGGCCAGAAGGGAAGCGGAGCGTCTCTCGGCCCTTCCGGGAGGGCCCTCTCCCCCGCCCTCCGTCCCTCTTTCGCCGCCGGTTCGACGACGACTTCCTCGCGACCGCGGTCGACCGGGACTCCGGGGGCTCGACCGGATCCGGCGAGCTCGATAATATATATATATATTCCCGATATCCTTTTGATTAGTTCCATCTCGTTACTCTAAAACGTTAAATATTATTCTACTATTTCTAATTAAAGNATATATATATAATAACTCTGCCTCCGGCTTATCGTCGGATATTTGCGACGTTGCGTCACGGCATCCGTCGGATGAGCGCGCTCTTATCGTTTCACGTTTCTCGGGAAGTCTGCGTCAGCCAAGGACGTCGCGGCGAGCGTCGCGGCGAGCGTCGACGCGAGGACGTATACTTGCGCTGTCGGAAGTGGAGAGCCGCGATCGGTCGAGAAATTCACCTGCACTTTCGCGTCCTCTTCGTTACCGCTTAGGGTCGCGGCGCGACGCGACATCCCGGCCCGTGGTCCGATACGCCGATGTCGCCGACCGCGGGGAGAGGCGTTAAACGGCCGCGTAACGAGACGCGTCGGCGTAACGGCAAGGAACTAGACCGAGACGCCCGCGGTCGCGTACGTTACGCGTTCGTAGAATCCGAGCGGGACGCGAAGCGTCGTCCGGTCCGCTGCTTGTTTACATCCAGAGAGGCCACCTCCCTGCCGCTTCGATGACGACGCAGCTAGTCGCTCTCCGGTACTCGAATTCCCCACGAGTCGGTCTTCCCGAATCGTTGGAGTCGTGAGACGCGCCTCGGTGAGGTATCCGCGTTGCGTAATTTCTCATTTACGTTTGCGTCGTCTTCTCGACGGCCATACCGATCGAAACGGTCGAATTTTCCCGGAAAATCGGGCCATTCGCGACGTTTCGTATGTCTGGATTCTTGCGTCGGTTAAGGGGCGATCGAGACCGGGTCGGTCCGCGATGGGAAAGAAAGGAAAGCGTCGAGGTCGACCGCGAGAAGGGTCACCGGCGGAGGGGGCGAGTGGCGCCATCTCCGGGCGAGGGTCGGAGGCGGCGCGCGTATCTCTCGGACTGGAAAGAAGTCGCCGCGAAGGCAATACGCCTTTATTCACCTGCCGTGACGTTCGCGCCCCTCGCCCCCGGCCGCGCGCACGCGGCGCCGTTCACCGCGGAACGCCGACGCCTGCGCAGTGCGCCGGCTCCGCGGAAATCGTTCGCGTGGTCTCGCGAGGTATTCGCGGCAGCGGAACGCCCGTTAACGCGTATCCCCCATGCGACTCCGCGAGAGAGGACCGCGCGCCGCAGCGGAGCGCTTTCTTCGGCCGCTCTCGAACGCCCGTCTCCGTCCGAGGACGCGGAGCGGTTTACGGCGCGCGTTCCGCTCTCGGGAAATTTCACCGCGCGGCGCGACCGACGCCGGGACGTCGAACGGGGGCCAAGGGGAGGGCCCGTTGCGTCGCGATATTTGGGTCAAAGCTGGGGTCGGAACCTCCCGACTCGGACTTCCGCCCCCGCGATTGGATTTTTAGAGAGGACCGATTCGGGGGAACCGGGCACCGCGCTCGATCGAGAGTTTCCTCCGCCCTGCGAGGTGCCGATCGACGCCGATCCAGGGAGGGGGAGCGACTCGCGCCCCGTCCCGCTTCCACGTGGCTCGATTTTTCGGGACCACCTGTTCTCGGCGAGCACCGTGGAGGAATAATCGAAAAAAAGGAGCGCGCCGTCGGCCATGGCGGCCGGTGGCTGGACGCGAGACGGTTATAACAGGCGGCGGCACCTGTCCGCGCGCTCGCGCCTCGATCGGGCGGCGGGGGGCGGCGGGAGGCGGCGGGAGGCGAGAGAGGAGGAGAGCGCGCGTGCCACCGTTACGCGGCACCTGCCACAAAAGTTGGCTCTACCTTCGGCATACGCGCGGACCACTTACTCCGCGACGCTCTCTCCCGCCTCTCTCCGGGCCTCGCGCTCTCGCGACTCCCCTGCCCCCTCCGACCGCGTCCCGTCGCGGTCGCGAGTCGCGGCTCCCGGAGTCGAGCACCGTCGACCGGGCCGGGCTCCGCGAATCCGGAACGCCGGGACCGCGCCGACCTGGAATCGGCCGTCGCGCGGCAAAGTCGCTCGAACATTTATGCCTCGCGAGCGGCGACGTATCGACGTCGCTCGGACGGGGGTCCCTCCGCGCCCGCTCGACCGGGGCACGCGAGGCCTTTCACCGCCGATCCGCGCCATCTCGTCTCGAAATCACCGCTCGATCGCCGAGAGCCCCGACCGCCCCTTGCTTCCTTCCTTCGGGCCGGCTCTTCCGATCGAGACCGCGCGGTCGAGGGCATCCGGGAGCGGGGTAGGTCCGGCGATGGGCGATACGGTTGCGACGGCCATGGGAATGGAGTGCGGAGGTGGCGGAGGTGGCGGAGGTTGCAGGGAGGAAGGGTCGGTGGTGGATGGGTATTGATCAGCGCAGCCAACAAGACGCCTCGCGGGATACCTACCGTACCTACCCTCCGCCTCTCCGCGGCGGAAGCCGTCGCCGCCTCCGTCGTCTCCACCGCCTCCACCGCCTCCGCCGCCGCCGGCGGCGCTGCCTCCACCGCCGCGACATAGTGCCCCCGATAGCGATATATTCAGCCGCTAACCAACCCTATGCTCCTACCACCCACGCTTTTCATCCCTCCCTCCCTTTCTCGCCGAGGGTACACCTTCGCCTCCCCCGTTCTCCTCCGTGCCGTCGTCCTCTCCCTCTCGGTCCGGGCGTCCGTATGCGCGCGTAGCCGGCGTCGCGTCCGGCCTGTCGGCGCTGCGCTTTTGCCCCCGCGCCGTCGCGATCCCCCGAAACGGGCCCGATCGGTTTTTGTTCCCGATCGGGAGGCGGCGCCGCTAATGACGGGCTTCGCCGAACCTTCTCACCTGCTCGTCGACACCTGTACGGCGCGTCCCGCTCCTGCCTCCGAGTGCCCCAAACGACCGCGTTTCTATCCAAGTTTGAGCGTCGAATTGCCAGGCCCGAAGTCTCTCTTACTCCTGCACGGGGAAGACGTCGGCTCGGACGGGAGGATTCTCCAGTCCGGGTGGAAATTTAAATAAAACTTTAACGGGGCGCCCCCATGGCCGAGCCACGTTAGGTCGCGCTCCGCGAAAAGGTAATAAGGCCTGCTCCGGTATGCAATTCGCGTCACGTTGAGCTCTCGACGGCGAAATGGAGGTTTCCATTAGGAAGGTAATTTCGCAACTTCAATGGATATTCCTGGGCAGTCGCAGCGCCGGATGAATACTCGTAACGAGGACGAAGGTCCCGAGTCGACGGAAAAATGGAGGATTCCCTCCGGGACGAGGTTCGGACGACTCGGGGGAAGTATTTCCGAACGGCCGGGCCGCTCCTCCGGAGATTGGTTTCCGCGGGCGACCTGGGGAGTCCTCCCCGGCGGAAGCTGCGCGGATTCTCCTGCGGGGCGGCGGGGGGCGGATTATCAAAACGTTTCCCGGGCAAATGGCGAGCCGAAGAGAATCGCGCGAGGCGAGGACGGGAGACGGACGGAGGGCGAGGAAGAAAGAGACGAGGCGGGACTCGGGCGGCCGAGGGAGACGCACCGAGGGAAGACTCGAGGTGAGGTCCGCCGCAAAATACAAGTTGGTAGGATATCGACCAGCCGGAAGTCTGAGTAGTCGTTGCCATGGAGACGCTCGAGTCAATTTGACCTGGGCCAACAGTCACCGGCATACCGATGCACGATGCCATCCCATTATTCCTGCCGTTTTTCACCGCGATACGCCCGCGGATTCGCAAGCAACGCAAACGAATCTCCGGAGCGAGCCGAGCTCGGCGCGCGGCCCGACGGAGACGAATCGGACCCCCCGCGACTTCCGCGACCCCTCGCCGAGGGTACCGAGACATTTCGCCCCTCCCCTACCCTCCTCTTCGCGGCGCGAGCGCTCCCTCTAATCGGCGGATTTTCCCCAATCCCGACCACCCCCGCCCGAAGGCGGCCGAGAGGGAGGTGCCGACGTTCCGTTCCGAGATGACGGGGAGGATCGAGGAAGGATCTTTGTAATTCCTTGATCCCTCGACTCGGTCTTCCTGGACGTCTAGGAAGCGACGCCGCTACCTTGGATCGCTCCTAGGATTTCCGGGGAAACTCCTGCGCGATCCTAATGAGAGTAATGTACGGTATTTCGGTAAACAAGGGGCTGCGTCCAAATCGCTCGAACTTCGTCGGTCCCCACTCGGTGAAATTAACTTCCCGGTGTGATACCGCGCCGAGTACTTCTCCTCCCCCTCGGTTTCGACAAGTTCCCCCGGGAATATGGGAGTATTTCCGCGGCAAAGTGCGCGCCCGCGCCTGCGCCGATCCCCTTTCGAGGTCGAAGGTACCCTCGACCTCCACCTTCCCCTCGAGGACGTCCAATTTGTCCGGAATCACGCTTGGAGTCAATATTATTAACAAATGCCGTGACTAGTGGATATTCCTTCGCACTCCGAGGCGCGGAATTTTTTTTCCCCCTTTCGGGGGTTATGGTCGTCGATTTTGGAAGTTAATTTAATTAGGGGCGAGATGCATGTGCGCGCTTCGATTTATCGTCGAACGAGTACGCTCGCTAGATCTCGGGACGATTACATCGCCGCGCGGGGTATACGCGTCGCTAGATATTTATACGCAACTAGAATGCATGACACATAAGTTCGAAATAGCTCGCGAGCGTTTCATTAAGGGGCCTTGATACCGACCCCATCGGCAACGCCGATTCCTACCCGGTTGGTTTCCTCTCCGCGCGCTTCCGTCTCGCCGCGTCCTCAGATATAAATCGAAAATAATTTTTTATCGCGGTGCGTCACGAGACACGTGACGACTCCGCGATCCGATTCGCGGCGATACTGTCGGCAAACGTATCGCCGGTCGACAAGGATCGAATAATTTCCCATTGAGCGACCGCGTTTGATCCGGTCCGTACGTATTCCATTAAAAAAAAAAGCCGAAAATTGCAAGATACCGGAATAATTAACGCTACTCGAGTACGAGCACTTAACCTCTCGCCCGAAAATATCCATTGTGTCGCTCGATCGTTTTCACGATCGATATTCGGTTATGTGCTCACCGAGACTTTTTTCTTTAAACTTGACGTGCTTCCCAGTGACGAATAATCGAACGAGCCGCCATGCCGATCGTAGGTAATAACGATTTTATCGACCGAGTTTAACCGGGCGTTCCTTGCATCGAATTATAACGATTATTTTAAACGATACGATGAAGCTGCGGTGGAATCGGGTCCTTTCGTAAAGACGTCACGTTTCCATTTCCGTCTTTTGTTTATTAAGTCCAGCTTGGTGCGGTGGTCGGGCGTGGATTAAAGTTTTAGAGAGACAAAGCATTTTTTTTTTTCGCTTCCCGTCGACGTATCGACGAGGTCCCGAAGCGACCCAATGAATAACCGATTCGAGCACCCTTCGAGAAACGATTACGTCATCCGTGCGGAGGACACGCAGCCGGAGAGAATGCGTGCACGGCGGGCACGTGCGCGTACGCGTATACCTACACGCGTGCGCGTGCGCAGATGCGCGCGAGGAAACCCGTTTATCCGACGAGCGGGGGATGCGTGACACATATTGACTCGCCGAATGAACCCTCTCTCGCCTCGAAACGATAATCACCTCTCTCTCTCTCTCTTTCGTTTCTCCAAAAGCGCCGCATCGCGTCCTTCGCGGCCGCCTAACGAAATAATTGGCACAATTTTATCCGACGCTCCGACTCGGCCGTTCCTCGATAATTAATGACGGAGATCGGGTGACCGTTAATTGAAAGAAAAAAAAGAAAAAAAAAGGACCGTGCACTCTAGGCGCGTTCTATACGTATGCGGTAAAGTAGGGGATATGCGGAGTCCATTACTGCGGTCGGATTCGAGTCGCGCTCGAAAGTCGTATCGGCTTCGCGCCCCCGCCGACAGATGGCGGTAGCGGTCGCGGCAGTCCCGCACTAACTTGCGCGCTACTTCAAAACCAAGTTTTGAGTTGTAGTCGATTCCTTCAATGGCGAGATATCGAGATGACCCATAAGTGCAACTACGTCCCGAAGCGTGCATTCGAAATTCCATCGTCCTCGATTTGAAAACCAACGAGAGTCTCCGTCGTATCGAAACGATATAGAAATTAAATTCCGAAATATCCAAGAGGTAGAGCGAAACACCGTAAAAAATGCCCACGGAGCCGACCGTTCTCCGTTTGAATCTCGTGGCGACGGCTTCCACGAGGAGCGATTAGAACGTAGAATTTCCTATTAAAAATAATGGTCGAAGCGGCGCAGCGCCTCGGCGAGCGAAAGGATGCCCGAGGTCGCGAAGAGGGGGTTGACGTTCTTTGCTCGAGAAACTATTAGGTGGCCGAATAATTCATGCCGGGTCGCAGTCGGGCAAAGCGGGTAAACCGTGGTGCGCAGGTTTGCGCCGTAGAGCGCACGTCGAGCCCCCGAGGCCGGGAAACGGGGTTGAAGGCTCCCCGAGAGGGGGCGCCGTCGAGAGCATCGACGGAGGGCGGAGCACGGACTTCGGCACCCGATCTCGCCCCGACACCCCATCCCGTTCCACGGCCACCCCACGGCCACCCCATGGCCACCCCGTTCGCCCGTAATCATTTCTCTCGCTCGAGAATCGCCGCGACGTCGGAGACGTCCTCCGAGCGGTCGTCGCTCGAGTGTTTCGAGGAAATTAATATCCAACGCGTGCCCGTCGACGGCTCGGAACTCCCGAATCTCAAATTGGCCTTTGCGCCCCGTAGTTTCATGCTCGTATTTATGACGATCGTTAGCGGCGCTCCACTAAACGCCCCGTTTTCCCCGGACTCGGCGCGAGAGATCGTCGAGAGTGAAATTTCTCGACCCGAGTAGCCCGCGAAGAGGCAATCCGCGGAAAGGTCGAAGGTTCGCGCGAGTCGGTCGGTTTCATCCCTGGCGCGATGCCTATAGCTGCCGGCGCCCGACCCGACCTCCCGCCCCCGCCCCACCCCGGGCCCCCTCGACCTCCCCGGCAACCCCAGCGCCCCGGCGCGCCCATCGCGCGCGGCACAACCGCCCACCTATCCTAGCCCACCAACCTCTGCCATACCGCGCGGTAACACCCGACCGACAGATCAATACCTAACCAACTCCCAAGCTGCTCCCAGATTATCATTCCATCCGTCCACTCGGACCGACTCGAAGCCAACCGGGCAGCGCACCCTCCCGCAGGGAAAGTTCCTCGACCGCTCGAGTCGGAGGTCGCAGCTGGACCCGGGAATTCCCGCTTTTCGAAGCCGAACTTCACCGACCTGGGCCTTATTTTGCCCGCGAGCATCTACCTCCTGGCTCCGTCCTCGCTTCCGTGACCAAGGTGGAGGACAACTGGTCCCCTCCGTGGCTCATGGATATGTAACGTGGATACGCGAGGTGAAGGTCGGAAGGTCGGACGGCAACGCACGTCGTTGTCACGGACGTCGTCCGTGGGTCGCGGCACTCCGGGATCGATGGCCCGCGAGTGCTCCTCCAAATGCTACACCCCTTCTCGTCTGGGTTAAAATTACTTAACGGGATAATTCGCCGAGGGATATCTTGCCTCGAAGCACTTATCTTCATTTTTCGTAATGCACCGTGGGCGTTAACGCGATGCGTCCCCTCATTGGGCGCTGAACCCTGTGGGAACCTGACCGAGCCGGACGTCGGATTCATCCCGAAGAGACGTCTTCGGATAATTCCAGTTCATTCCCGATCCGAGACTCGCGGACGCGTGACCAGAAATTAAAGAGCAACAGGTGTCTCCACCGATCATTGGATACACTTTGCGGCGGAGCGACGGGGCAGGGTGGGGAATTTTTTCATTTCTGCGAACGAACGAGTTTAGAGTTGGAGGAGGATTGAAGGAAATGTCGAAGACAACGTAAATCGCGATGGTAGACGGACGAACGGGAGAAGCGTCGTTCGCGAGATGACGGGACTCTAGACTGTCCGACCTTAAGTAACGGCCGAACCATTTGCCGAAGGTCTCTGCCATTTTCCCCAAAAGTGTCGGGAATCTCTTCTAGCGAGGCGTCTTAATCGAGGCGACGCGTAAACGTTCTAAATTCTGCCCGACCGAGGCGGGAGGGAACTCCGACCGGAGGGGGAACCGCGCGCGGCGTAAATCGTCACGAATCGCTGGCGAGGTGCGTGGGAATTCGTTGGTCACGAGGACCTTAACCATTTTAGCCAAGGACGTCTTTCGCCCCGTCGAAGGTACGTCACGGCGGCGCCATTGGCGTCACGAGGTCCTTCGTGACGTCAGCGACGAGGATTAGATTTGCGGGGAATTATTTGCGCCTGCGCGGTCGGGAGAACCGAGGTTGAGAGACGAAGTGCATGCGCTACCGATCGAGGAAGAGCCCTCCGTCACCTCCAACCATTACAGGTCCGAAGAAAAAATATTATTAATAATCAATTATCGGCTCGCGAGTCCATGCCAGCCGAGCGGTCGGAGTCCAAAATGTCGAAAGGGTGGATTCGGCGAAGACCAAGAAAGTCCGGAGATCGGTACTCCCGGGGAGTGGACGGTCGACTCGCGTCGTCGGGATCGACGCGGTCGTTGTATCGACGCGATCCCGGAGGTGCGCCCGTGGTCCCTCTTCCCGCGAGGCATCGTCGAGCCCAGGGCATAAATCGGTCGGAGGAAACTTTTTGGGAGCAGTTAGTAGTCGGTACACATATACGCGTATGTACGCGGTTTTATCCGGTGGTACTCGGGGATGTTGCGGGTTGATTTATCGCCTGTCGTTGCCATGGAAACCTCGGCGTGACCGGCTTGCGCGACACCCTCATATCCGAGTCGACTCGCTGGTTCGCTCTATCCCTTTCCCTCCCCTCCACCACCCCCCTGCTGCGTCCTTCCCCTCCGCTCCTTCTCGCCCGATCCCACTCCACCGCCCTCGGCCTTCTCCTCTTCTCCGTCTCTCCGCCACCCCCTGATCGACCACCCTCGCCCTTTTTCATCGTCCCCCTCCCAGCCCCGCTCGCTGTCTCTCTCCTCCTCGTTTCGTTTCGCTGGCCTTCTCTCCGCCGGGACTTCGTTCTCCCGGTTCCCATCTTTACATGTGACCGGAACGAGATATAGGCTTAAGGTACAATTTCGTACGAGCGACGCATGGGTAATTGGCCAAGCACCGCCGTTCTCTGGGTTTACTCTGGAAACCCTTTCAAAGCGGTCGCACCTCCCGAACTATATTTCTCTACCACTCGCGATCGCGCCATTGTGTGCGCCCGGGATTTTTGCGATGAACCGAGGAGACGCGAATCGGTTTCGCGTCCCGGGTGCAGGTCCTCGAGGTCGCAACGTTTCGGCGAATCCGTTTGCGGGGACTTTATGGGACTGGAGGGCGTTCCGAACGGCGCGATGCGCTAATTGTAGGCGGGACGGGGCTCGGAGGTAACGACGCCAAAAGTCGTTTCTAAAAGGCACTCGGCTGCCCGCGAGATCCTTCGCGGGGGGGGACGAGAGGACGAGAGGCGAGCGGCACGGCTCCCCTCTCTTTCCTCGTAGGGACGTCGATCGGCGAAATATATAAATTCGTCCCTGCACGGAACGCGCATCGGGCCATTCGTTGCCCCACTCGCGGCTTCGTACTCGCGGACCCACACCCACGCACCGACCCTCGTAGGTGCCCGGGCCTCGCGGGAACGACCTTACCGACCGAGCTATCAAGGCTCAAGGATCTTGTTCCCGCGAGGCTTCCACCTCTGGAGAGGGACTGCTATCCTCCGCATGTGCAAAAGAACCATCGAGAACGTACGAGATGCATACCGATGCGTGTCTCCTCGCGCCCTCGAGAGTCCACGAGGTGGCCACCGTTAACGTTGCGGGGAATCGTTCGCCTTAAGCCTTTGTACCGCGATGCTCGAGCGCGTCTTCGCCTCCTGAGAACAGGTGGCGGGAGCTGTCGCCTTTCTGCCAGTCGTAAGGAACTACTCCAATTGCGGATCGATCGACGCCTCGCGATCGAAAGGTCTCGTCACTGGACTTATTTACCTTAGCGCGGTCGTCATTATACGAGCATCGTTGGGTTATTCCATACTCACGTTTTTGCGGCCCGGCCCGTCGTTTGAAGTTCATCCCCCTCGAATCGAGCCATCGGAGAGGAACGAATACCTATCTCGAGCATCGACGGCTCTCTTCCGTCACGAACTAAACGTTGACAAGGTGCGAAATTGCGAACGGCTCGGAGCGCCACGCAACGGGCCATTCGACTTGGAGGAGCCGAAGCGTCTCGACTCGGTTGCGTCAGGCCTACGTGACCACTGCGCGACTTTACCGACCGTCGATAATCGGCATGGCTGACGACCGAAATCTTTTCCTGGTTTTCTTTCGTCGTCCGGGCTCCTCGTCGCCGGGAGAGGCGAGGCGAATTCCCGCGATGGATTTCGCAAGGAGTTTCGCTTGCTCGCTGCAACTGCGCCGCGATTACGTTTTTTTTTCCTTTTTTTTTCCTTTACGTAACCGCGCCGCGTCGCGGCGGATCTAGCTTCCAGACTCGACGTGGCGACCGACGAACGCGTGGCAAAAGCTCATGTACAATCTGTAGGAAATAAATTTCTATTTTTTTTTTTTTTAAGGAGTTTGGATATTGGTTCGAGCCTTGAGCCAAATTTACATCGATTGTTAGTACCACACGCACGTGGTCGGACCGAGAGGTAGGACGCTCAATTTTTTGTGAGTTATTCTTCCGCGTGAATCGGTACGAGGCATCGCAGTCGACGTTAAGAAATCGATGTTTGCGATCCCGGTCGGTTGCGTCGGCAGAATATCCGTCACGTCCATTATTCCAATTTGTTCCCGCATTGGCATTACGCGGCACCGCCTTTCTCCTACCGCATGCGCCGTATGTTCTACTCGCTCTAAGGAGATCGTAACGAAGGTAACGATAACCTCGTTTTCTCCGCTTTAAAAGTTCACCCATGGTTATCACCGCGGACATTTGCGCAACGTACTTTACTTTCGTAGTCGCGGTACTCTCGAGTATCGATCGCGAGGAAAAAAGATTCGGGAAGGAACTTGTCGCGCCGCGGCCAGTCCGCTTTACCATCCGTGGGCGAGTCGCCTTTGCCGTTCTCGAGGAGCGGCCGATGGTAAACCAGTCCGATGATAAACTACGATTTGCTCCCCAGAGTTCGCCAAGCTCGACCGAGAAAGTGCGCATCGCGACTGGGAAACGAGAATTACGCATTTTGGAACTCGGAAGACCGATTCCCGACCCTTGCTTCGAATGCAGGTTCGACGGACACGGAACGAAGTTGAAGCTCTACACTGCGGTGACCCTTTTACTATTATTTTCGATTAAAGATTCGTTTGAACCGTACAATCACCGATTATAAAAATCCATAAAATGAGTTCTCGGTACTTTCATTTCCTCTTTTTGGGCATGGTGCAGGGACTGCGGCAACGATTCGGCGTCCGGAAGAGAGAAGGGCGGGCAGGAGCCGTCGAGGTATCGCTTCCCCCGTTATCGACCCGGTCACGTGGCAGTGACGTAATTGGTAGCGGGGTCATGTGATCCATCGGAGCCACCCACGCACCAGGTATACCGGGTCGACGATATGCCATCGAGGTAATCTCTGAGCGTTCCAGGTGAAAGGTTATGGCAGAGAGAAACGGAGAGTGGCCATGCTCCAGGTCTCGCGTCGCCGAGTCGCTGTCGCCCGATGGCCCTCCATGGAAATTCTTCCACACATGGCGCGTATCTTTTCGCTTTTTACACGAATTCGTTACTCGATGTCTCGATGTTCTCGCGAATCGTGCGGATTGAATGTACTCTGGTTATAGACGCAAGCAGGGACGTCACCCTGAGGCAGGGGTTGCGGTTTAAATTTGGGAAGATAGAGAGGCGTAGGTGTGCTCTTGTCAAAATACCTCCCGCGCCATCGACCGAAAATGCCTCGATGCACGACCTCGATTTTTTTTCGAGAAGTACCCTGGAATTCGATCTTTGTCGACGCGCACCTTTTCAAACTGGATTTACGTTAACGCATCGCGTCGATCCTGCATCTGTACTGCCGACGTACCTACCTGGATTTTTTTGCATGCACGTGTCCGAGTACTTCTCTTTGCGCGAAGGCACGGAGGTCGTACCGGCTCGCAGGTCCGGCAAAGAGTCGCACCGATAACGCAATTGCGAAAAGGGGACAGAAGTGCAGCGGCATAAATGGGCGAGCACTATGAACGAAGCGAGACAATGCAATCTAGGCTAAAGATACCGACAAAACTCTTATATGCCTCCAATATCTTTAGAAAGTGTGACGCCCATCCAACGACCGTACGTTTACACAATCGTAGAGAATTTGCGTCGATCTCGTGGATGAATTGAAAAAAAAAGGAATCTCGCTATCTCGAAGAGGATCGACGTGCCGGTCGAAACCGAAAGGGTGGCATCAATGATCGCTTCGAGGAAAGTTTGCGAAATCTCAGAAATTTCTGAGACCTTATCGAGAGAACGAAGAATGCATCGTCTCGTGCACGTACGGGTATTATCCCTGTTACAAAGGGACTTTTTTCCAACAAGACGTACATATATACGTGGACAAGGGATTCTTACAAGAGCAGTTCTCACTCTACACGTTGAAGTTACGTTGCATTACGTGGAACCATGCTTTGTCAGGGCACTGGGATTTTTTTGATACTTCTGCTCGTGATTCTTGCATCGAGACCCGTTCGACCGATTTTTGTAAGATCTTAGTTTTAGCCTTCGCTACATTTGTATCGAAGTATACGTGTTAAATACAGCAGTACCTAATTCATCTTCGGATGTAAATCTATTTTTGCCTTTGCCTCGTTTACTACTCTGAAAACGATGCAACGTCTTGGAATAAGTAGTATTTACATTGATTTTTCCTCTCTAGGATTTGGACGATTCGAGTTCTTCGGACTCCTGGGAAGTAGACTACGAGGATACCGTCCGGAAGTTAGACATATTTAGAGGCCCTCTTCATACTCTGTTTTGTGACACATTCTGCACCCAGAGAGCCTTCAATTTGGTGTGCCGATGGAAATGTCCTACGACCACTACTACTATCGCTGCTACCACTACTACTGTTGCTGCTACCACTACGACTAGCACTACTACCAGTACGTCTACTGCGAAACCTGACCAAAGACCCGAAAGCTCCACCGAGAGCGGTACCAACGGCTAATAGTGAAATTCTAGAAAATTAATTAGGTAAGCTTAAACACGAGCCTTTTGTGCACCCAAATCAACTTTCTTTCATCAAGCTACCGTGGACGTAATTCGCATCGCGAAAAAAATTCACAAACATCCTTTAACATATTTTAACATCTACCAACAAGTGCAGCAAGCTCGATTTCGATTAACTGCTCATGATGATTTTGACGACGTCACCGGCCCAATCACGGTCTATTATCGGGCCGGTGATGGTTTCGTTTGTGCCTTTGTGTTCCCTTTCAGCTTTAGGTGGGCCACTTCGGAGAATCTGGCGACTTCCTGGTGTTTCTTCAATGTTCCGTTTTACCTGTACTTTTGTGCCCCTTTGCTGGTTTAGGTGGATCACCTGGAAGCAGCCATTTTTGGTAAAATCATCATGAGCAGTTAATCGAAATCGAGCTTGCTGCACTTGTTGGTAGAAGATGTTAAAATATGTTAAAGGATGTTTGTGAATTTTTTTCGCGATGCGAATTGCGTCCACGGTAGCTTGATGGGGAAGATTGTTCGGTTTAAATTGATCTCTCGAGCTAGTGGCTGCGATTTTTTTCGGAGGAGATACAGAGTTTTGGAGTTTTTGTGAGGAGTTCTTCACTTTTTCAGCCGGTTTCCCGGCTGCCCAGAGTTATAACAGGTGGCAAATGCATTAGCCGTCTGCATCCTCCACCGGAGGTCGCACAGGACGCGGTCGCTCGATCCTTCCTGTGAATCTCTCAACTCATCTCTGTTTTCTCCTGTCGGTAGTCTTTCCATCAGATGGAAAATGCTCGGAGCTTCGAAGACCCGTTTACCGTTCGAATCCGCGATGTCGTTATAAGTCTCTTTCTGCTTTGCCTACTAAGACGATTTTCTTGAACCGAGTCAATATAAAATACTCTCGTAACGTTCAAGCGTTCATAGATTAAATTAACATGGTAAAAGTTAATAATAACACATTCTGTTTTATCGACAGCTGGATATAGAGAGGTACTAACATACCCGGAACGCTCTGTGCGGTGGAGACATCTGGCTACCTACGTAATTCTAAGATATAAAATGGACAAAATAGTACAAATTAGATAATGTGGAAGTTTCGTTTAGAGAATGTATTGGAATAACTAAAATTTACGTGCTAAGCTCATGTAAACTTTGTAAAATCACAATTACTAGGAAATAGAAAGTCTGACTTTATGGCACAACCGAAGTATTAATGTCTTATAAATCGTAATGTGGAAAGTCAATAATTCGGAACGACTAGGACGGATTGCGGTATCGATTAAAATGAAAATATTTCCGAAAATCGAGATGCAAATAACGAGGATGGCGTGAGATTACTTTTAAGAGACGGGTCATTCATTTTCGGATGCTCGTAAGCTCGAGAACCTTGCGACTAAAGTGCAAATCGGCATCGCCAATTGGCCCAAATTGTAATTGGGCAACGTTTTTCCCTCGTCGTTAAAGTAAGCGTAAAGATTTTTAACCAAATACGCATGAATCACGGCGACCACGTGCCGGACCCTGGGGTGACGTTTCAGGCCGTCTTTTCACTTTTATTCAACCCCGGACACCTTCGGTATCAAACTCCTTAGTAGGTTACGAGCACTTAAGAACGTAACTATTCGGTCTTGAAACTAGGTCGGAGCACGCAACGGCACGTACACTAATCTCGTCTCGGACTCTTTCTCCTATCCCTGTATTTCCCCGTGTAGTCCATGCTCCAGATATATCCGTGGACACTGTCCGAGTTCGCTTTCGAGACAAACGGGTTTCGCGCAATTAGATCCTATCGGCAAGTAGTCTGGAGATAGGTACTACAGTCCTGTCCACCTACGTTGAGCCTGGCAGACCTCATCGACGAAAAGAATGAAAGATTGACGGACTCCGCACCGCCGAATCGAGTTTGCCCCCTTTCCTCTATTCTTTTTCCTCATTTCCGTCACGCGAGGTGAGCGACCTTCCCGCGATTTCAATTGAGTGGTACTTACCGAAAATAAGGGGGCATAATTTTTAATAAATTTTCTAGGAGGGGGATGTCATCCATTAACGTTTCACTCACCCATCGGAGTCGACGAGTCCGTAGGCTGGACAGATGTAATTATTAATCGAAGGCGAAAGGACCGTGCCTCACAGAATACCCCGTAAGGAAGGAATCGTTGATTGATGGAAATTCATTTTTATATTGGACCCTGATAACACCTGGAGCATATCGAAGGAAACATGACTCCCTTCTAGGAGACGCGGATCGTACAGAGGAGCAGGATTGCGCAGAGAGCATGTGACCAAGCGAAAGTTGATCCCCACGAGTCAGAATGCAGTCTTCGACGTGTAGGATCAGGGTCGCGACGGTAAACGCTGAACTCTCGGAGTACCGATATATTTGGTTAGATAATGTAAAAACGAGAAGGCCTAAGTAATTACAATCCCGGTCGAGTAGATATTTCCAGCCTTTATATAACGAACGTGATAAACCAATTTTTAGATTAACGAACCTGATTTAATCGAACGCCGTTCGGCACTGACTTAAATTTTGCACCGTTGCTCCGGCAAAGTAAACGTCAAAGTTTTGCTGAATCCGACGTTAAAGCAGAAGAGAATAATCATCGAAAAATCGAATCACGAGATCGGATGTCTAACCTATATTGAGAAGATATACGTGTCTCCCCTCTCTCTTTCTTTTTCTCCGTAAATCCGTTCTCTTGCCTTATCCGACACTCCGAGCCTTTCGCTTCTTCTTCTCTCGTGATCCAGATGTCGACAGGCTGGTTTTAAAGTCTTTTTAACGTCGTACCGTTATATGTAGATCTTTGCAATCGCAAAAAATGAACGTCGGTAATTTTACGATTCCACGGGCGTGATACATCGGGTATGGAAAGAACGTTGCCAAGGATCACGGACAGGACTCACGGTTGCGTATTTTCTTCATTTTTTTTTCCTGCACGAAAAGCGTACCCTTAAGAAAGACGTTTTAATTCAATTCTTGCCACTGGAAGCACCGTTCACTGCACTCTCTATCGAAGCGGTAACATCGAGGTCACTGCCAGACTTCGAACCCAAGAAATAACCGCTTTCAAGAATAAGGACGGGCGTGCGCTTCGAAAGGTCGGCCATTTCTACGGCAATTACTTCAATTACTTCGGTCGAGGTTGTTCCAGTGACCGTTTGTCCGTTTCCTAAGTGCGCTCGTTTGCGCAGACCTCTTGAGGATGACGGGGCCCAAGACTCAAGAATACCAAAAATAAAAAAAAGAAATGTCAATTTACAAGAGACCGCACGTTGACGAAATTCAACCTCACCTTTTCAATCGTCCTTCGATAAAATCCCTCTTTCGAGGTTCTCTGATAAGATTTAAGGGAAGAGAGGGAAAAATAAGCAAAGGCATTAAACTTCAAGGGGGCTTGCGCATCCACGTTAATCCTCTTAGCAGATTTGGCATGATGCATTTCGTTTTCGTTGGGTGCACCCACGGTCATGCATCGAGGCAGGTGGAGGTGTACATTTTACTTGGAGTCACGTGTGGTCCCAGGATTAAGATAGCCCGTTTGTGGAGAAACCACTTTCGAAAGAAAGGTTGCCACGGAATATAATATAATGTAATGGAGCCCGAGTCACGGATATCCGAGTTCGTTGCACGTCGAGCCGGTGCTCGAGTAACTCGTTTCTCTTTGGACGACAACCAGTGAATTACCTATCTGGCTTACCTTACGAGACTCTCGAGTCGCGCACCTTGAGAAGACGATCGCTTTCGGTAACTTCGGCCAAGCATGCCGAATTGATTTCGGGATAAAGTGATATTTCTTCTAAGCCCGACATAAGTACAATGACTGCGACGGAGATGCCGATTTTCGCGGCGTAACTTTAATTAGTCTTGCTGAAAAATTAAATAATGATCGTTTCGGGTTTGGCGACGATACATACATCTTGGGCCCCATGCACCGTGAACCCGAGGAGATATTTCTTGTAAGGCCACGTTTATTTCTTATAGCACTCGATAGCGTCTGACGTGTCTCGATAAGAACGCCGAAAGCGGACGAAAAAAATCGGTAGTTCGAGGCGGGGGACCCTGGGGGGGAATCGAAACGGATTCGGGTCAGAATCGCGAAGAATGCCAAGGTTCCCCGTTGCTTTCACGTAAGGTGCATTCCTTTTTCTGGAAATCCTACGATCCAACCAATCGACCTGGTCTACGCCCATCGTTAACGTATCATTCGAGCGACCAATCACTCGCGAAAGAACAAAAAGGTTCTTCGCGCAAGTGGTTTCTTTTTAATTATCATCGTATCTGTAAATTGGCCACATTGTCCGTGATCTTTCAGATGACTGTCGTGCTTCATCGACATACCGGTATCTCGGCGGAGCCCTGCCAAGACGAGAATGTCGCTGGACGATGTATCCCGACTTTTGCGAACAGTTGATCGAGTTTCGGTGCTGTAAGAGAGAAGTATTTCGTAACGAGTAGGCGTACCGAGGGCCGAGGGTATAAGACCACGGTGCGCACGCGTTTATGTAACGAAGTCGCGATTTGGTTGGTTTCGATCGGTATCCTTAGTCGGATTTTTGGAGTCCGTTGAAAAATTCCACGATCCGCAAATTTTTGCGCTCGATGGCGGTACCGGATTTCTAAAATTTTTACCGAATAAGCCGAGAATTGAGAGAGCTTCACGGACATCGAATTCGAATCCGGGCGCTGCCCAAACCAGTCTCGAAAATTCCTCAAGGATTTCCGGCACTGCCCCGTAGCGATCCAAAAAGACGAACGGACACTTTTACTTTTACTTCTCGTCGACATTGCCAACGTGCGGTCGACCACGCGGGCATCTCTTCGATTCGTGAATACGGATTCGACCAGGATAGATTCCTACATTCAAGAAATTTCACGACAAATTTCGCCACAAATTTCGATGCCGACCTCTGTCCACGGAACCGAATGCACTCGCAGTTTCCGGGGGAGGAAGCGGGATTATCTAAAAGGTCCGCCGTGAACAACCAAGGGCCTCGGGATTAAATTGCCGGCTGCGTAACTCCCAATTATTTCACGTACGCGAGAGAGTCGAGCGCTCTTTCGAAAGAGCCTGCGAAATGGAGCCCGCGGCTGGGTTGCCTAATGGTGATCCGTTTCTTGAAATTTTAACGGCCGTTCGATCTAATTCGTCAGGCCGGCTGCACCTGTGCGAATGCATCCTTGTAGAAGCAACGGCAGGTGCATTGGGGGATGCGCTCGAGGGGGTCGCTCTTCCTAAGATCCCTCGAGGGTGTCGCCGGCTCCGCGAGTCGGGACGCCGATTTCACGGTGATCTCTTTTGCGGGTACCGATCCGGATGGCGCAGATTTTCCTCGAAACGAGAGGGAGTACGAGGTGCAACGAGCGCCTTCGGTCATCTCGGCTTCGCCATCTGTTCGAAGCCTCGTGACGCCGAGTTGCGTAAATCCGCAACGTTCCCCGCTGCGCTCGGCATCTACTTTGAGACCCACCGAGAAAACGCGAGATCGTGAGAGATGCCACTTCGCGTTTACTTTAACGGCTAGGCCTCGTGACCGGGGCATGGATCGGCTTCTCTTTCCCAAGCCCCCGTGCACATCCTGCTCGCGAGACTTAGACCTTCCCCCTTTCAGATCCGAGCAACTTTGGGATTCGCGTTTCCGCTAAACCGCCAAACGATATGTCCAGCGGTTTCGAGAACCACCCTTCGGTCCGAAGTCATCTAAGACGGGATTTCAAAGCACTCGACATGTCGTGTCGAAACTGGCGTGGTGTTTTTGCGAAGCAAGTACTCGAACGCGTAAGTAGCCGAGTATTAAGTAGGCGTTTCCACTTCAAACTTCGTTATTGCACCTCGGTGCACATTGTCCTACACTATATCGGTGGAACGCTTTAACTTCGTAGTTGGTATTAACGATACAGGATAATTGCCTAATGGGAAGTGTTTTTCAAGGCACGTGTCATCTGTCGGTTCTCTTAGAGCAGCGGCAGCGATTGCTCGGACTTGGGAGTCGTCGAACGATCGAATCATCGGATTCGATTACCTTAGGATGACTCGAGATCGATGACCGAAGCGGTCTTCCGGAAAGTGAAGACTGGGAAAAGGAAAAAAAAAAATGGCAAACCGAGTGAGGCAGTTTTCTACGGATCCCACGGTCGGTGGAAAGTATGCATTAATCTTTATACATTCCCGTACGGATTTTCCGCAACGCGCTTACGCAACGGATCGACGAACCCGGAAGGAAACCGTGACCGTGGATCCTTCGATCGGAAAAGATTGTCTCGGGAAACGAAACGCCGGCGGGATTTTTCTGCACGCCTACAAATTTGCGGAATTCGGTCGCTCTGATTTACGCGTACCCGCGGATTAAATAAATTCAGTCGCGGCCGCTGTGTATTTTGTGTTTACCGTCTACGTAATTTAATTTAACCCGATTTAACGAAACTTAAGAACCGACGCGACGTAAATGCATATTTATGCGGCCGTTAAGAAGCGAATACGCGTATCGCGAGCGGCGGTTAAGAGCGTGCTACCTTAACGGGTATAGACAGGGGGTGTTTCACGAGCGAGGCAGCTCGATTTTCAATTTCGATTTGCTCCCCGCCAAGGTTTCGGCGAGGCCGTTTTCGACTCCGTCGCGTTTCCACGCGTTTAGATCTGGATCCGCCTCTCTCTGGAGAGCGTGGAATTCTCCCGTGACCGTGGCAGCCTCCGAATCGACTCGACGTCCGGGTGCGATCGTTCGAACCGATTAGGTCGATAGCTTCGACTTTCCTCGGACGGATTTGGCGCGAGAGTGGAACCGATCAACAGCCCTAGGGCCGTGGACGATCGTACCGAGCACTTAGTACACACGTTGGCGCACCTACGCCACCTGATGGGCGGATCTTTTTGGTGGTTGCGTGCACCACCTGCGGGGCTAAAGAGGTACGCGTTATTATCGAGCGCGTGCTCGCGGTTACATCACGAGTACGTTACTCAACGATCTATCCGGGGGAAGGAATCGCCAACGGCGCGAACCGGCCTCGCGGAGATCTATCCTATGTAAAGATCGATCGGCGGATCGATCGTCGATCCCGGGCGCCGGCGGAGCATCGACACTCGCGGCTTCTTTCGCAACCTTTCCGAGACCAAGAGCGAGGGACGGGACGCATCCGGAGGAGACACTCGGAAGATTCCCTGCGATCGATCGATCAGGAAATTCGGTGTCCGAGAAGAGGGCGTCGCGAGTCGTTTTCGGGGGTCGCTTCGTCCGAAGGCGCGGACTCGGGGAAAGACCTTCTCTTCCTCTCTTCCTCGCCCTTTCTTCCCCGGCGCGCGGCGGCGGGACGGCCGCTTTCGTTTTCGGAGATAATCGAAGCCTCGGATCGAGGGCAGACGCTCGTTTAGAGAAAGGAAAGTCGCCTCGTGACTCTTGGCGCCGCCTCCTCGCGGTGACTCGCGTCTCCGCAAGGCGAGTCGTACGGTCCGAGGCGGCTCCCCACCTGGAGCAGCCTCCTTCCTCGGGGAGCTTTCGCGCTCTCCTACCCGGCCGACGAGGTACCGCGTCGGCGGTCGGTCCAGGACGCACGGGGGTCGCCGGTTGCCGTCGAGCCGGCGAGTCGCCAACCTGACGTCGAGCCGTACTCTCGTGGGTCGCAGCTCGCCTCTCCGCTCGTCTCTCCGATCGCCTCTGCCCTCCGACCGCCGCGCGGCCGCGCGGACGTCGCGACGCCCCAGCGATGGAGCACCCTCGCCACCGGTGAGAGACCGACTCCCTTTTGCAGTCTCCGGTACTCCGGGATTTCGGCGATTTTCCACCCCCGACTCGACCTCGCCAGGATCGAGGAAGGAACCACCGGTTACGGTCGCTCGGTTCGAACGACTTCGTCGAACGATTCGACACCGGAGCAGACCAGCCGTGACTGCAAGAGAATCCGACTTTATCTCGCAAAGTATCGCGCTACCGTTATTTCGTAATCGTCAAGGTGACTTCCATGACCGGTACGAAGAAATCGGAGATCGCGATTTGCCCTGATTTCCCGCCACCACGCTCGTTCCTTGAGCCTGGATTCTTTTTTATCACGGCGCGTAGGGGAGAATTACGCAAAGTCCGAGATCCGTCGCGACCGAGGCCGCGGTTCCCCAGATCGAGGAACCTTTCCTGGCAACTCTTAGGGATGATCCCTGGGATGGGCGATTGTTTTTATTAAGGAATAAATAGGTATTCCCTCGAGTTCCTATGTTCACGAGAGTGCGCGGTTATTTCTGTAGAGCAGAGGATTATGCCGCGCCGAGAGAGAAAAGCGTTATCGGTAACGGGAAAGTCGCGTATCGTTACGGATGCCGATTCTCGGCATCTCTCGGCTTTTTTCTTTCCTCGAAGAGCGTAAACGTCGCTCGGGGCTGTGAATAACTTATGAGCGAGTCGAGCGCGAGAACACGAGCACACCCGTTCCTAATGGCGGGAGCGGAGGTAACGAGGAGCCGATATTGAAAGTCGAGAAAGAAATGGTGACTCCCTAAAAGGCGAAAATTTACTCGATACTTATATTCTATTTATTCCGTCTATACTTCTATTTAATTGATTTCATATTTTTTAGCTTCTCTCTTCCGTGACTTCGGTCGCCATGGCGGTGAGATTCGCTCCGTCACGATTTAGGTTCTTTCCAGGTTCTCGCCCGATCGATTCCTTCGAGGTTTTGTGCCACCTAGCCACGAGGAAACCGGAATCGTACCGTCGAAGTGGGGAATAAAAGTGCGGAGCATTATTTCCGCTCGAGCGTAGGCACGTACCGGATCGGCCGAACAGTGACGTAACGTAGAGAGTAGCCTCGGGTACGCGTTTTCAATTTCCACCTATCCATCGAATCGAGACGGGCGCTCGAAATCGTTGATACGGATTTGCGCAATCCCATGACGTCTCCGTAATCGGCGAGAAAGAATCCACCCATCGCGATAACCGATTCGTGCGGCCGGGGGATCGATCGGTATCTCGGCGAGGAGCCACTCGATCGCGACGAATCGTAACGTTAACGTAATCGGGGAAACTTAATTAACGGCTTTTTCCTCGATTTCCCCAGGAGCCGAGTTACGGGTGTCGGCTTGAACGCGGATCGGCTGTTTTTGACGAATCGTGACTCGTCGGACGAGGCGGCGAGTCGACGAATCCCGCGAATTTGCCGGACGGACCAGAGAAACTTTATCGTGAAAGTGAAAGGTGGTCGACGAGACCGGAGAAAAAAGGAAGGAAACCAAGACGAGGACAATGCCGGGAGAAAGAGACGGATGGGTCCGTCCAACGATTTGGGCAGTCGACCCGAGGCGAACCTCTGGGCAAGGTTCTCGAGGTCCGCCTAGTGAAAGGACGCAACTGCCGAGAAAGTCTCAGAATGATCTAAATCGTCTGGTCGATCCTAATCGCGATCACGCGTCGATCAAGAAATTCCTCTCGGCACGAGCGGTAGACTCGCGAGACTGCCAACCGCGGTCGATTTAAAGGGGATTTCTCGTTGCGGTAATTTCGACTCCCGCCCACGCGCGAGTCGCTTAACAGGATTTATTCCTGGCCCCTGAATGGGCCTTGTCGGGCTCGATGAGCGCCGCGGTTGTCGGGAATAACGAATATCCGGAACGGCGAATAATTGCCCACAGCTCGCCCAGAAAAATGATTTATGAATTTCTTCAAAGATGCTTTTTTCGCCCGTTCCTCCCCTTCGGGAGATTCACTCCGTCGAGTCGCCGCGGAATCCTGCGAAGCTCCGTCTCTTTCGCTGATTTCTCAACGTCGAACCGTCTCGATCCTTTCACGTAATTCACCTCGATGACTTAAGACTGCCCGCGCGTAAGAAGAAATCTCGAGCACGAGCGATTAGGTTAAAGAGCGTGTCGGATGAGCGCGAGTTGCTTACGGTAAACGATATCGCGGTGACCCCACGTGCTCTCTCTTTCTCTGACCCTTCCTCCGGGAGTTCCTCTCTTCGTCTTCTCGACTCTCCACGTAACTCGCCGGAGGAGTTTCGCACCTGATGTGCCCATTTTCCTTTTTGATTAACCCCGTCGAACTTTCTCCTCGGTTCAAATTGCGAATCGGTCGAGTCATTTGCGCACAACTCCCGAGACTTTCCAGATACGTTGCTTACCGATTTAAGGTGCCGCCTTGTTAACAAATTTATACATTGGGGAATTTAGCTTTTGGGAAGGTTTTTGAGAAACGACTTCCCCCCGAGCCCGGAACCCACCCGGTAAACTTGGGCATAAGTAGCGTCCTAATTGTCATAATTTTACCGTCAAATTGCCGGGGTCGGGAACGATTTCCCAGCCACTCGGGTGTCGATTGCATTCATGGAAACGAATTTTCCGTGCGAGTTACGCACCGGGGACTGGTCAAAATTGAAAGTCGAGCATTCGTGGCTGCCGGGGCAATTACACGAGTGATTTCAGGAATTCCGGATGTGACGTCTGGACGTAAATTACAACTTGCGACGGCACGCGCGATTTTGCGACGCGGCGTCGATTGCAATTTTTTCTATCGTAGTTTTTGCCTTCTGGGGGTGTCGCCGTTACGGGTGGCACGATGATCGATGATCGAGAGATCATCTCTCTCACCTTTGTGTCGGCCTTCGCGATTTGGTCGTCGCATGCCTAGGCCTAGCCATCGAAGAACGATAGCCGGGGGTCCTCGAGAAGCGTTCCGCGACGTAATTGCAATTCAATTACGAGCCGAACACTAGCGGCCAAGGCATAAATTCGATAAATGGACGAGCCGACAGGAGTTGCGTAAAAGTATCCGTGTTTCTCTTTGGAGAGCCGCGACGGGCCATTCGGCGAGATCGAGAGACCCGATCTCGGTCCGGACCGTAAAATCGCGTGCTCGAGCTCCATCTCCGGTATCGCTCTCGGCCATCCTTAATCGCGAGAATACCGATTATCGTTCACGGATCGAAGACCCACGGTGCATTCCTGTCATTAATTCAAGGCACTCGATCGTCTTTACCCGGAAAATCTACGTTTATGTTTCTAACCCGCAATATAAATTCATTATCGTTTAATTCGCATGTTTGCAGATCCTCCGCGATACGACTAGGCAGCCTGTTGGCCTTTTTGGCGCTAAACGGCCCTTTCGTCAGCGGAGCTCTTCGATATCAACCCTTGGAAGTCTATCCCAATGGAGATGAATGCGCCCTACTGTTGGACGGTTCTGGGAGGACCAGCGTCCTCGATTACACTTACAACTTACTCCGGGGTACCTTGTGAGTCTGCGATCGTTACCTACGGAAGTAGAGAATTTTTCCTTCGAGCGGGTCTTTCGACGTTCCCGGAACGGAAGTAAATTGGAAAAAAGTTTGGCTAATCGCGTTTGTTTGCGATCGGTAATCGGGAGAAAGGCGTTGCACTAGACAAGAGGTCGAATTAACCAGCTGCCATTAAAGAAAGTCATCCGGCGCAGCCGATCGATTACGGGAGGACTGGTTCCACCCGATCGGTGTCATTGGTTCTTCGCGTACGGATTACTCGAAACGCGTCGTACGTGATTTTTTAAGAGTCGTTTAAGAAGAAAACCAGCAAAATGATCGAGATTAGCCTTCCTCGTGGTCACGCGCGATCGTTAAGTAGACTCGTTGGAGAAGAAAAAGGGAAATCCGCCGTGACAAAAATTGCGGATGAAATTCATGATGGTTTCTTAACGGAGGGAGCTGGAGAAAATGTAGGAAATGGCGAGGGTTTGGTTTTTATCGATCAATACGTAACGGATGATCGTTCGAGCAGCCTGGTCGCTGATCCGCTGCGATCTATCCTCGATCGATCGCTCCGATTCCGTCACGGTTTGCCCCAGAAATCGGAGGTCGATCGCCGCCGGGGAGAATCGACGACAAATGCGTGCGATCGTTTCGGGTTACCTTGGTCCGGTGTGCCATGGTCCGGTGTAACGCATGGGTATAAATTTACGAGGCAGTAATGCGCGAGCGTCTCGCGTTGCGTACCTCCGCGAAAGTAGGCTGCCGCGTTAAGTAATTAACGCGAAAGAGAAGGGCCACCGTAAATAATACTCGCGTCGCGACATCCTCTTAATTATCGGTTTAATTTGTCATAAATGCAGCACCCCGACCTCTGGTACGCACACGTGCATCACCTACGACGCCGTCAACCACGCGTACTTGGAGGCGAGGAAACGCATCGGTACGTTCCCCGATCAAAGAAATCGAGTCTACCGAGAACCGGGTGAATCGTTTTTAATTTCCTTTTCCCCCGATTTCCAGAGGTCGCCAGACCGAAGTCGGAGATTTGGAAGCCGGAGGAACTCGCGACGGTGGGAGAGCTGCTCCTCGACATTTCCGTCAACCTGGCCCATACGTAAGTTGTCGATGCCGATTCGAATCCGTTCAGGGGATTACCCTGGTTTTGCTTGATTGTTACCGGTTTCGCAGGTACGGGCTAACTTACGAGGAGATCGAAAAGAGCTTACCGCTGATCGACACGTCGAAGACTCTCATTCGCGAAGTGTGTCCCGCTTTTCTCAGTAACGTGGAGTGCCGACCAGGGAAATATCGTCGCTACGACGGTCTCTGCACGAATTTGGAAAATCCTACTTGGGGCTCGACTTTGTCGCCGTTCACGAGGTAACGATTGTTCCCGAAGTTTCAACAGAGTCTCTCCGCGTTCCTATGGCTCGATTATGCGAAAGTTCGCCTCCGTTATCTCCTACTTTAGATAACAAAGCGATTAGTAAAATGGACCCATTGTATCTCTTCCGTGAGACGACGCGGAAGAAGCACCGTCTCTCTCCACCGAAGTCTCATACGGCAGCCTACTTTCTTTTTTTCCGTTAACGTGGATCTTTTAATAGCCTCGAAGGATTCCTCTTGCAGATTGTTGCCGCCACGATTTGCGGACGGAATGAACGCACCCAGGATTTCCGTGACGGGCCATGACTTACCTCTGTCGCGCATCGTTTCTCGGACTATGCATCCGGACGAGGGCTATCATGACCACGCGGGCACGGTCATGGTGATCGCTTGGGGACAGTTCATGGATCATGATTACACCTTGACCGGTACACCATTGGGTACGTCGCGTTACTCTCATCGTTACGTATCCTCGCGGACTTTTAATTCACATCCCTTCCGTCTAAATTCGAACCGTGGCTCTTTATTGCAGACCCCCTGAATCGCAACGATCCGGAGGAATGTTGCGGCCGTCCACCCCATTTGAAGAACCCTTATTGCAACGAGATTTTAATACCCGAGGACGATTACTTCTATCGGCTGTTCAGCCTGAAATGTATGGACTTCGTCAGGGCATTCCCGGCTGTACGACCAGGGTGTCGATTGGGGTCCAGAGTGCCTTTCAATCTGCTAACCGGAGTGCTGGACGGCAACACCGTTTACGGAATTACCGAACACTTCGCCAGGTGAGCAAGACTCGATTCTACCTAGGTATTTCATCATCGGGTATTATATCACCGAGATCCCGGGGCTTTTCCAGGAAACTGCGAACCGGGTACGGAGGACTCCTTCGTATGAATCCAGTTTTCGCGGAATATGGCCTAAAGGATCTGCTTCCTCTGAAATTGGACATCCCCGACGAAGGTTGCACCCGACCGAATCGCTCCATGTACTGTTTCGAAGCCGGTGAGTTTTTTCTCACGGTTCAACCGATGTGACGTTAACGGCGGCCGTTCGCTCCACCGTTCGCCCGTAAATCATCGATTTTAACATAACCTCACGACGAATGAACCGCTCTTATTACGCGTATCGACTTTCTAATCACGCCGATTCTCGAAGAAAATCGATCGTTAGTACGTAGCTCGAGGTTGTCCGATCGGCATTCTCTCCCCTCGAAACCGAGAGTCAAACAAGCTACTGATAAAACGATATTTAACGTTCTCTCGTTGGTTCGGCTCGCTCTTGATTATCTCGGGAAAATTATCCGTATTCCTGGACATCGCCATCGCGCACTCGAGGACCTTCCAATCTGTCTTATCCATCGATCGCTATTCACCGTTTCGCTTTGCAGGAATTAACTATTGTTTAGTATCTTGCACCTTCGAGCTCGCTTTATCGATTGTCATAAGCCCGAAGGACGAAACAAAGATCTTTTGTCTCCTAACTGGAACGCTCAACGAGTCCAACTTTTTGTTACCTCGACTAATGTTACTTTATTTCTTATTTTTTTTTTTTTTCTTTCAGGGGAAATAAGAGTGAACGAGCAATTGGTGCTGACGTGCATGCACACGCTGTTGGCTCGGGAACATAATCGAGCCGCCAAGGCGTTGGCCCTTGTCAATCCACATTGGGATGACGAGACTTTATTCCAGGAGGCAAGGCGCATAGTCATCGCACAAATTCAGCACGTCACCTACAACGAGTTTCTTCCTATTTTGTTGGGAAAAGACGTTATGGAGAAATTTGGATTGCTCTTGGAAAAGAACGTAAGTGGATGTTTCATAGGGTACTTAAAGTAGAAGAAAATTATGGTAATCGATTGTGATAGATGTTCATGTTTTAAGGTTTTAGGTAATTTCCCGTGTCCCCCGTTTATGGTTGGGGAAAGGTCTTTTGTTTTAAATTTTACTACCTTGTCGAAGAGGCTGTACTTGGGATTTCATGTCGCGTAAATGCATATTTTCTATGCGAGCTCTTAATACTATGAGCTTTTCTTCTCTTCTTGGAGATTTTCTTGCGTTTGTGGATTCAGAGAATCGCACGGTTGCGACACGTAAGAGGCCCTGTTACTTTCTACCATTTTACGATGTACATCTTGGAACGACTTTCCTTACAGGGTTACTGGGACGGGTACGATGCCAGTGTTAATCCAGGTGTCATCGATGCCTTCGCTTCGGCAGCTTTCAGATTCGGCCATTCTTTATTGCCCACCGCCGTCGAAAGGTGGAGCAAAGCGCACAAATTTATCGGTACGTCCCGGCGGTCTTAACAGAATATTAAACGAAATATCCTGCTATGGCATAACGATGCTTTCTTTCACAGCATCCAAAAGGCTGTCGGATCTGATCAGAAGGCCCTACGATCTTTACCGAGCAGGAGTTTTCGATGAATATTTCATGGGTCTCATGAACCAAGTCGCGCAGGCCATGGACGACTCCATCACTCAGGAAGTATGTCAAAATGCAAAAAAGGGCACTAGAAAAAAAAAATGTGTCGCATCTCAAGAGAAGGAATTTAATTTTTTAATCGATTCCCTCGTCGACAGGTAACCAACCATTTGTTCAAAAAAGTAGGTGCCAAATTCGGCATGGATCTTGTGTCTTTCAACATGCAGAGAGGCCGAGAGTTCGGCATCCCCAGTTATATGGAATTCAGGTTGGTTGCTCCTTCGTGAGAAGAAATGAACGCGCATTTCACTGAAGGATCAAGGGTAATCGTTGTGACTGATGGCGGTCTCTGAAATTACAGGAAGTACTGTGGCCTTCCGGGAGCGGATAGCTTCGAGGAACTCTTCGGTTCCATGCCTAATGAAACCATCAGGCGTTACAGCTCCATTTTTGAGTAAACGATACAAGTTCATTTATACGATATATTCCTAATGCTCCTACTGCTCTTGAAAAATATGTGTTTCTCAAGGATAAATAGTAAAAGTCCGTTTTGAAATTTTTTTTAGACATCCTGCTGACGTCGATTTGTGGTCCGGCGGTGTGTCCGAGAGACCGCTACCCGGAAGCATGCTGGGACCAACCTTTGCTTGCGTTATCGCCACCCAATTTAGCTACTCGCGTCGTGGTGATCGATTCTGGTATGAACTTCCAAACCAGCCGTCGTCCTTTACCCCCGGTAAGTTAATCAGTTCCTTTTAATTTACCGGAAAGATCTTCGCAAAAAGTTATCTCAAAAATTGGTGACGTCCATTGGTTTTCAGAGCAACTGACCGAAATTCGCAAAACGCGACTCGCAAGGCTAATCTGCGACAACACCGATCTGATCGATACGATACAACTTTATCCAATGGTCTTGCCGGACCATGAGATGTACGTACCATCCGATTAATTAATTTAATAATGCTTTTCTCGCATCTATATTAACGTTTGTCGAACAGAAATCCCCGTGTGCCATGTCGCAGCGGAGTCATCCCTGGCATCGACTTTAGCAAATGGGCCGAATTTCCAGCAACCGGTCAAGCCGCGCAATACGTGAGTAACCTTGCCGGCCAGTACGGGCATTTGGTCAAGTAATGCAATTGCTGGCACCGAGACAGAAGCAACCGGATCGATGGAACTTCTCGATCGAACATTCCTAAACGAACCGTGCGCGATGCTTACGATGCGAGCACGATAATTCCAATAAATCGAGGCAACGACCACCAACGAATAGTGGTCGCGTGCATCGGATCATTGTCGAGAATTAAAATAAATTAACCCGGAAACATCCTTTGACTGGTAAATCGCTTGGACACCGCGACCGGGCAGTCATTGAGCGATGATAAAAAATGATCCATTAATAGGAAGGGATTTTTTCATACCCATATACCCGATCACCTCTGACGACGCTTAAGTGCAATTAAACCCGATTCGTAGTCCTTCAAGGTTACTAGTTCCAAGACTTCCCGAAATTGCACTGGAGCTTTCGTCAAGAAGGCGATTGCGGATATTAACGATTCACCAAATTAACCGACGATGCACCAGCACATTAATTGCCTAGCACTTTGTCGTAATCGAGTAGCCCGTAGATGTACTCCGTTGAAGTAATTTAATGATTAGCTATTATTGCACGTGCACGAGAATGCTGAATTTAGTATATCGCGTGAACGTATTAAGGCGTGGGAGATACCTGCTAAATACTCGACCATTAGAGCCATCGACGAGCAACTGTCAAGATCCACGGGCAATCTAGACGATTTTTTATATAGAACGACAAAAGATCACGATGGCGTAATATAAGAATCCGTTCCAGTGCCCATGTATTGCGTGACTCGCGTGTAGATTTTCCACAGCAGAGTATTTACCGATGAACGCGTCTAGTCTTATCCTCGTGTAAAAGAAATCATTATTTTTCAACCAGGTGATTGCTTTGTCGCGTAATATCCATAATTAGACCAGGCGTTTTGAATTGTTGCGATACCGGATAGGCTAATTATACCGATTAGCCCGTGCATTTGCCAATCGCATGCCTATCTGTACGCTACTTTTCATACCCTGAATCGTAGAATAGCTCGTCGGAGATTACTTTTAGTTGTCATGTCAAACGTCATGCACCGTGTTGCATTTAATCAAATCACGGCAACGAAGGACATACCACGTCACCGCACGTTACCGTTATTAATATTCAGGCACTAACTTGCGCCGTGTGCGCACCAGACGCGTTTTTATCAAAAAGTTGATAATGCGATAACGTAAACTCACCTAAGTACGGAATAGATATACTACACATAATATATATATTATACCTGTAAGCACTCGTTAATCGTCTTGCATTCTTAAACGCATATTAATCGCCTAGCAATTCAATCGATAAGTACTTATAGGAGCTACCTAATGTTTGCAGAATAAAACGTTAAATTCTGCATTCGTTTGGAGCAACGGCATTCAAGTGAAACTGGCATTTATGCAGGAAAAATTATCGCGGTGGGGCGACTGAACTACTTTGAATGTGTTAATTTCATTGAGATTTTTTTTTTTAACCTGGAACGGATGTGTGGAAATCAATGTTAATTAAGCTGGACACTAGGCACGGATCGAGGTTTTAATTTAGTAGAAGTGATGCAATCGCTCCACAGTAGTATGTAAATATAGATCAGTAACTACTCCTCGTATTCGATCTTGTATATACCTCTTGCGCCAATAAACTAGTATCGCTCAGAAGAGTGCCATTGTACGGAGTTTGACGGTTATTCACTTTCTATGGTTTTTCACGAATGCCTCCAACGACACGGACGTCATTTGCTTTCGGTATGCTTGAAATTTTTTACCGTCACCTTGTAAAGATCACGTTGTTTTTTTAATTGATCACGGTATTCCCGTTAAGCAACGATTGTTATTTAAGCGTAATGCTTTTCGCTGTTGTACATGCCGACGATCGAGGGCCTTTGAAACAATGCAGAGAAGTATCATTTGTACAGGAGCACTACGATTCATTTGGTATCGGGGTATCGAACTGGGTAAGTCGTTTCCGCTTAAAAAAGAGAGAAGACTGAAATTAAGAAATTAAGATCAACTGGAATTTTTTTACAGAGCTCCGCGAAAACGGTGTCACACCCTGAAGCCTCGATGACTTTGATCGAGACGGTTCCTCGACAAATCGAACCACAAGAGGCAAAGGTGATGACCACGATTTCGATCGAAAAACCCACGTCGACGGCTTCCCCAGACGGAGACGTTCTCGCCGAGGACGGTACGTTGAGGAAAAAACAACGGGAGAAGTTGAAAAAATTCAACGTCCCGAAGTACGGAACCCTGGCCAATTTCTGGAAGAACAAGCTATCCCGGAACGGAGTCGAGCCGAAATTTAACCAGAAGAAGAAAATCGACGTCGAGATTTCTTCGGCACCTTCCGAAACTCCTGTAATCGCTTCGACGAAGGACGACGCGGCAAGAGGTAAACGTTACACCGTAAATATCCTGCTGGATAACCTGATGAACATTACGACGGTCGTGGAGAACGTTCGAGCTAGGAGGAAGAGAAGCGTCGAAAGAGAAGAACCGCGCGGGAAGGACGGACGGAACGGTCGGGAATATCGCTCGAGGGGAAGAAGAACGAAGAGAGCTCCGATCACCGTCAGTCCAGACGGCATCGATCCTTTAAGCACCCTTGCTCCCTCGTTCCAAAAGCGATACGGTGGAAGCAGATTGCCCAAACGTTCCTCTCCCACCGTGGAAGAGCGCAGAAGCTCCGAATTGGCCAACGAGTCGGTCGAGGAAGAGGAGAGCGAGGAAGGACGCGACGAGTACGACTTCTCCGAACCGCGAAAAGAGAAACGGAAACTCGAGAAAATAGTAGTGACCCAAAGAACGCCTTCCGATGGAAGCAGCGAGTACAAGGACAACGAGTCCTCGAAGGAAGAGGTTTCTCATCCGAGATCCGCCCCGAGCAAGTCGAAATATTTCGGCTCGACAAAGCCGGGGAAGAATTTCTCTCCCATTTACACGTACCTTCCAACGCGTACCACGCAAGTGGACGAATCGGATTCCAGCAAGCCGGAAGTCGAGAAGGAGGAAAAGCCGACCCCTTATGTCGACCCCGAAGATGATAAACGGATCGCGAAAGGGACCGAGGCACCTCGGCCAGTCGACGGATATCCCCCGGATATTCCCGCCTACGATCCCGATATCATACCTTACGTGGAAGTGCCGGATTATTCGGACGAGAGGGAGGAGAGCCTGGACAAGAACGATCGGGTGGATCCCGCGGAACTTCGGGATTACCGAGACGAGGCGGCGACCGAACCCAAAGTCGAGGGCAAGTATCGTGGAAGCGACACTAGGGTTTACCAAGATGGTCGGAACGTCGACGACGACGATCGAAAGGAGGCAACGAGCGAAGAGAACGGGGCCAGGCGTCCCGAGGGAACCAAGGAAGATCCTGAAAGTGGCGAGCGGAAGCAGGGAGAACGGTCGGAACGGCAGGACGTCCACGCCACCCAGGAGCCCGTCGTCGAATTCGAGCCTATACATTTCGACATCAACGAGTACAAGAAGCCGTTCGATTTCGAGGAGTTCTTCAAGGAGAGTAGGTTGTTCAAGAGCAAGGTCGGGAAAGACGCGAAGGCTCACGAGAGCGAGAAAAAAATCCAGGCCCGAGAAGAGTCCGAATCGTCCCGGAAGACGAAGCCGAAGTACCTCGGCTCTTCGACCCTGGAGACGCACCACAGTACCTCCGTACCCGAATACTTCGAGAAAGAGTACGCGCACGTTTCCGACAACGCGAGCAGCCTCGAAGAGGCCTCTTCCGAGGACCGTTCCGAAAAGGATAAGGACGGAAAGGAGCTGACCGTCATTTCCGAGAGGGAGTTCCGATACGGAGATCGAGACTTCTTCAAGCCCTTTTTCGAAGACGACGGAAAGGTCGAGCAACGGAGGGAATCCAAGATAATTGAACAGGAGGAGGACACTTTTGCTCGATTAGGCGACGAAATTACCCGGAAATTGAAGGAGACCTCGGGAACGGGGAAAAACGATTCGGAAGGGAAAATGGACGACACCGTCAGCGTGGAAACTTTGTCGACGATGCTAGGAAAAAGGAACTACACGGGGAAAAGGAACGTCGATCCAAAAATCGGATCTCGGAAGGTCGAGGAGACGGTCCCGCTAAAATACAATAATTTTTGGGCCTTTGAGTACAGCTACCCGGGAAAGAAGAAGCAGGACACCTAAACGGAAACGTTGAACAATTTACGCTGCAGTCGTTTACGACGACGTGCTGCGTTGTTCGCTACCTAGATTTAAAAACGAAACTAAATTTGAAAGAGACTGGATTATTGTTAAAATTATTTATTTAACGAAGAAAGAGATGGCATTGGAATTACGACTAGTATCCGAGGGCATAAGAACCAGTCTCTATAGAATTTTTCCTCATTCGACTTGCTTCCCCCACTCGAACGGTTTCATTCCCAAAAAAATTCTTCGGTAAGTAGTCGGGTATCCGCTTCCGCTACTTCCACTTCCCCTCCCTTCGTTAAACGATATTAAAGGATGTTTGTTATCCCGGAGGTGAGTTCGGAAATCATGACTCATCTCTGCATATACTACTCTCGAAAGATATACTAATATTAAAAAAATAGAAATAAAACAACGTACACGTCATAGAAAACCTCGTATCAGTTCTTTTAATTATATTTATTATTATACACGGTGGCAGCATCATTGATTAAATCTTACAAAGTGTCTGATTCCAAAGGAGGAGGTGTCACGAAACATTCGGGTATCGTGTTCAGCGTCTGCTTCATTTCCAACTGTTGTACCTGAAACCGTTTAGCGAATATATTAGACACAATATTCGTTTTCTTCTAATCATCGTACTTACTTTTTGACGTAGCGCTTTTTCATTGACGGCTGCTCTCGTCAACAACTGCTTCACTTTATCCAGCAACTCGGATTTGTGAGCCAATTGCTGCTTCAGTAAATTAACTTCTCCGGTACTGTCGTCTTCTTTACGAGCATTTTCTAACATTGCTATTCTTTGTTCAGCGAGCTGTAAATCAGTTTCTAAAGCCACTACACGCTGTTTTGCCTTTTTGTAAAGTTCCTGAGATACCTCCAATCCATCGGAACGTGGCCTTGCCTAAAATGAAAGAAACGTCGATACGAAATTCACGAAAAATGTACAAATCTATAAGTAGACTCACAGAAGTCGCAGAACAATGGCAGTGCTTTGAGTTGACGCGCAATCTTTTGTTTTCTGCCTGAAGTCTTTCCACTACTCGTTTCAAGATGAAGACGGTCTTCTCCAATTCTAAAAGAGATTTTTTGGAGCCCTGTTCGTGCGACTCTCTGTCGAGAGATCGAGGCGACGAGTCCGAGGATTTCTCTACTTTCAGCAGCTCCACGTATCTTGGAAGAGCAACGGGAAAAACGTTATCAAGTCGAAAAATCACGATAGAGCATAACAAAACATAATTAATGATGGATTTTTTTAACCGAAGTAACGGGAAACGTACTTTTCCAGGTGCTCGATCTTTTCCCGGAGCCTCGGAGTGTCGAGGTTCAGTTTTTCGATTTCGAGTTTCAACTCAAAGTTTTCACTCTCCAGTTTAATGTTCGTCCTTTGCAGATGTTCTTTCGCGGCCTCCAATTTTTCCAATCGGTCGACCACGTAGGAATTTCCCTAAAATACGGACGATTCGTAGATGAAAAATTTTTCTTTAAATCGTAAAAAAATCTCACACCTCGACCAGGGTTTCTAGCGCCGCGATGCGTCTTCTTTGTTCTTCTATTTTCCGAATAAGTTGGGAATTTTCTTCATTTTCCAGCCTGTCCGTGAGTTGCTTCACTCGCTCCCTCAGAGTCTCGCATTCGACTTGCAAGTTTTCTATTACGTTAAACTGAAAATCGGAGACGGGTCTTGACGACAAGCCTCCGGATACGGTTCCATTTTCGACCCTCAATTTACTTTTCAAGTACCATTTTTCTCGATCCATGCACGAGATCACGGATCGTAGCTTATCGCAAGTCGTTTGTAACCTTTTGCCCTCCTCCGTCTTTTCCTTCAATTTTTCCTTCAATTTTTCCGCCGTTTGCTGCCACTTTTTCTGCTTGTCCCACAGCGCCAGTTCTTCCGCAGTCTGTGTAGATAATTCGACTATTCAATATAACTTAGTGAGGGTGGAAGCTTCAGGGATTATATATGGTGGATAGTATAGGTTTCTATTGTTCTTTCTCTTGTTAATGATATTTAGACGTTTTTAAATTCTTGTACTCTAGTGCCAATGAATGACTGTATACTTTAGCTTTCTTCGCTTCGTGAACATGATACTCCCTCTCCAATTGTGCCCGAGCTTTGTGTAATTCTTCTTCCAGAGTCTTCACCTTACGGTCAAGTTGCGTTTCCCGTTGGGATGCTTTCTTCTCCTGTGTCTTTACTGCCATGTATCTAAAATGATTGAACGATGTACCGAATCTCCCCGGAAACTGTATTTAAATGCTGATGGAAAGGAGAGAAAAAAAACAAAACGATACCTTCGACTAAGCTGCTGCTTCATATCGACTATCTGGCTTTTATAAATTTTTTCTTTCTCCATCATGGCTTGGAGTTGTCGGCGTAAAATATCTAATTGCGATTGCATGTGATTAGTTTGATCTCTGCTGATATTGTGAGCCATCTCCTGCACGCGATATTCTCGCGATTCATGGGCATCAGCTTTTTGCGAGAGACTAATCTCCTTCGTTATCTTCAGTTCATTCTACATATATCAGGAACATAAATTCCATAGCAGTTATTAAAATTTACTTTGAAACCGACAGATTGGTTCTTTCGCTTTAAAAATTAAGGTATCCTAAATTTACCTGTAACTGTTGATGTGTCATACTAAGCTCGTGAATTTTATTGTCCCTCTCCTGTAATTCTTTAGCCAATGAAATGTTTCCTTTCGTCAATTGCATTCGATTCTCGGAAAGTTGTTGTCTCAAGCTATCAGCCTCTGCTTGCCATTTATCGAGTTCGGCTCTATAGCTCTCTATTTCTTTTTTGTGATACTCCTCGAGTCTGCAAGAACGCAACGATTGAAATGGAATTACGTTAAACGTAGGCACGAAATAATTTCTGAAGATTATTTACCGATCCCTCATGTGGTCCATGTGCTTCAGTCTTTCCTCGGCTAAACGATGCCACCTTTCGCTCAATTCCTCGGTAATATTTAAATCCGCCTCTAGGGTCAAAACCTTTTCCCGAAGTTTCGCTGCCTCTTCCTCCAGGTCTAAATGTCTGTTAAGATCTCTCCTCGACATCTCGAATTTCCTCTCTTCGTCAACGGACTCCGTTCGATCGCGCTCATTTTTAGACCTAGAACAAAGTGTTTTCTAACGACCGATAACATCGTTAAATTACGGTAATAATTTTACTAACTTGACTTCGGCGTCGTTTTCCATTCTCAAGATTCTCTCGTGCAAAGATTTTATTTCTTCCTGGAAACGAGCAGCAGCTTTGCTATGCTCGTCTCTATCTTCTTTCAATAAATTCTGGTACCTTGTAATGGTTTCCTCTTTTTGAGTAAGAATCTGCTGCAAGCTGTTGACAGTGGACTTAAGGGCTATTTTGTCTGTACTATCCATTGGAATATTGCTGGAATCTCTGTTTACTCGCTCGATGATCTTGTCTCGTTGAGCAACCTGTAAGTCTTTCTCCTCGATTGTTTTATTGAGAACAGATATCCTTGCTTGATATTCAACGATTTGTGATTCATATTTTATGATCGTCGCCGATCGCTCCGACGCAAGGTTCAAAGCCTGCCTAAATTGCTCATGCAGGTTACTTAAAGGGGCTTCATTTAAATTAACTTCATTGTCAGCATTGAGAATAACGTTGGCTTTTTTACTACGAGTAGAAATCGTCACGTCTTGTGGGCCTTCCCTGAGAGCCTTTTCTTCCTTCCTGTCATCGATAATTTTACTTTCATTTGGAAGACACGCATCGGATTTTTTTATCGCGGCGTCCTTTACCTCCGTCGAAAGGGACAAAGTCTCGGTTTGTACCGCAATTGAAAAGTTTTTTATTTCAATTTGCGTAGATACAGTCTTTTGTTCGGCGGTAGCAGCATCCTGTGACTGCACTTCTTTCGATTCTTGAGATATAATTCGTTCCGAAGAAGGCTCGGACTTTCTACCCCAAATTTTTTGCATTTCCATCATTTCGAGCTCCATAATGGATATGGTTGATTCACAGGCTTCCAATTTACCGTTGTTGATTTCGAGTTCGTATTCCAGCTGTGCTATTCGTCTCTTGTATCTGAAATCCTAATTAAAAAATATTTCAGTGAAATTATCCGTGCATACTTCGATAGGAAGGTTGACGTAGAAACTTACACTGATGGTTTGTTGGGAATTCTCAGAAAAACGATTCAATATGTCTTGAACGTTTGAACCACCTATTTGTTCCTCCAGAATGGCCTTAAGTTGCTCAACTATTTGGAGCCGATTGGTCAACTCGTCTTGTTGGAGTTTTGCACGGTCGCTGGTTTCTTTCGCTTTCTTTAATTGCTCCTCCAATTCCATTCGATTCCTCGCTAATTGTTTCTGCGCGGAATCGAATCTTTCTAATGCGGAGGTCGACGTAGAGCCGGCATATTGCCGCTGCAAGAAGTCTATTACATCTAAATAGGTTCTGTAAAAAAAAAAATAAATAATAACTTATTACAGTATTTACTTTTGTAACGTGTATAAATAATACCGCCGACTCATGAAATCATGCAATCGTATTCCCTCAGTGATATTGAAACGTAAATCTAATGAGATAAGAGTCACCTGCAGCGAATATCGCACTGCTTCTTGCACTCGATCACTCGATTTCGAAGCTCGTCGAGATCCTTTTTCAAAACGTGCAATTCCTCTTGTTGTTGAATAGTTTCGTTCTCGAGCTGGGCTTTGCGTTTGTTCAATTCGATCTCCGACGCTTTGCAGTTGGTCAACTCGAACCCCAACTTGGCAATAGTCTCCTTGTCTTCGCTGATTGCCTGTAGATCTAATATCTGATGTCTGAGATTGTCCACTTCCAGAGTTTTCAATGAATTCAGCGTGTAATGCATCTGAGCTTCGTCCCGAGAGATATCGACAGTCTTTTGCAAATGTTCGTTCTCCGTTTGTAGGACGTTTACGCGCTCCTCCAATTCGAGAAATCTGTCATCTGGGGGAGGAGATTGCCGAGAGGTGTTTACATACTTTGATAATTTATTGTGCAGTTGGATCAACTGTTCTCGCAATTCGGAATTGATTCTCGCAGTCTCTTCCAAGTTGGCCTCGCATTTAGCTAGCTGGCTCTGCGAAATCTCATGAAGTTTCGTCATATGGTTTGCTCGTTGTCTCTCTATGAGCTCCTTCGACTTCAACTGATTCAACTTCTGCTTCGGATCGTCCTCGTCCGATTCGGAGATACGTTTCTGCAGGCTCTCCACCAACTGTTCATTCTCTCCTTTCACCAATTCCAACTCGGTTCTTAAAAATCGAACCTCTTCGGAGTCTTTTATAGCCAATTGGTTCTCAATGTTCATGCGCAATCTCAGGGAAGTCTCCTCGTACTTTTCCTTCAACTCGTTATACTGCAAAGTACTGACGGAATTGTTTAGATTGCTCCTGAGAGTCGCAATTTCGGTTTCCAAAATTTTACCTCGTTTATTGGTGTCTGCCAAAATTTTTCGCAGGTTCGACTCCCTTGCCACCGCTTCCTTTTGCACGCGATAGAGCTTTACCGATTCCTTGCCAAGGAGCTCCTCTAACATCTTGTGTTTTCTAGTTACAGCGACTTTCTCCGCAACAGCTTCGGCGAGCGCTTTGCTGCTTTCAACGAAAGCCTTTTTACCGCCGTCTTCGCTCAACTCGAATAGCTGCCAACTTTTGTCGTATTCCTCTAGTCTAGCGCTTAATTGAGCGATTCTATCTTCCAATTGGGTCCTCTCCTGGAGCAGCGTACTCTTTTCTTTCTGGAACTCCTCAGTCTCCTGGCGACGCGTTTCTTCGGACTTCCTCAACTCCGAAATAAAAATGCTCGTGTCTTCGATTTCAGATTTTTCCGAATCGGATTTCTCCTTGTCGACGTTATCCACTACCAGGCGTCGAAGAGTGTCATCCTTCCTCTTCAACTCCTTTCTGTACAAACGATTTAGGTACGTGTTATTCTAGACAGTATACGTACTAATTATCGATACAATCGACAGACTGGAAATAAAAATGATACAAATATTGGTCTCCTAATTTACGATCGGACGAAATCTAAATTTAATAATAATTTATACCTTATTTGTTTGAGCTGAACCCTGAGTTCGGCGTTACTGCCTTGTATGACGTTCAGCCGACTTTGAAGTCTCATCGCTGGATGATACCATCCAGCTACGTGCCTCACATCCAATGCTTCCAACAACCTCTCCAATGTATCGGATTGAATTTCTACGGTGCCCTTCCCTGAAAAATGATGTGGCAGTTAAAAAAAGCATCCCCTTCTTGATGGTTTCCATATTTTTTCAACGAATAAAATGCACCATCTTGATCGTGTATGCTGTCCAAAATCTCCTGCATTCCTCTCCTTAGAGCTTCGTTCTCTTCTATAACGATTCTAACGTTTCCTTTGATTTCGTCAATTTCAGACATGTGACGTAGAGACATCTTGTCCTGTTCGGCGACCCAACTGTAGTCAGATTCAGACATTTCAGACATTTTGGTCATACGGCTTTGGCTCTTGTCGTTAATCATGCCTTCCGCTGGCTCCTTCGACTTCTCTGTCAATTTGTTAAATTTGAATCTTACTGTCCGTAACTAAAAATAAAAATGAAGTAACCTCTGAGATAAATTACAAAGTAATATTAAGTAGATTCTCATTCTGCCGTTTGAAAATGCAATTTATGTATGAGTAGATAAAACCAAAGTACCTCGGCTTTCGTTTCAAGATTTTCTTTCATTAATAACCTATTCAATCGTTTCAATTCCTCGGTTTCCCTCGCTTGCTCCTTGCGTTTTGCAAGAACAACGTCGGTACTAATCTCTTCGTTTTCCGAAATTCCTAGTTTTTCTCTGTAATTTCAATTTTTTTTATATATTACACCGATAATTAAAAAAAATTATAAATCAATAATTTCTTGGCACGCTTACCTAAGAGCCGTTATTTCCGTCTCTTGATATGAATTTAACGCCTCTAATTTATTAATGACTTGTACAAGATCTTCTATGTGATTACGTTTTCGATCAAGCTCTTCCCTTAAGTCTTTGACCTCGTCCATCGCTTCTTTCAAGCTGTGGTGCTTATTTTCATATTTTTTTAAAATGGCTAGAGATTCGCAAAGCTGTAGAACATTAATTATATAAGATTTTCTAAAGACGTTATTCGAAAATGATTAAGGTGTTCGAATACCATACTTCTTTACTCTTAAGCTTAGCATCATCGTCCGCATGCTTCCATAACTGTTTCAAATTCGATATTTCTTCATACGCATCCTGCAGTTTTTTTAGCAATTCCCGGTGTTCTTTTTGCTTTCCGTTTTTGGCACTAGTTTTAAACTTTTCAATGACTGCCGCACTTTCGTTCAATTCATCAACAGCTTCTGAAAGTTTCCCACGCAATTCTTCAATTGTAGCATCTTTGAGCTGTATCTCTTCGTTCAATTGTACAATCTCAGAAGAATTTTGCTCGTTAATGAACGTATGGGAATGAACAGAAGATTGGGCCAAATCTTCCTTTAGACGCGATATTTCCGCATCTTTCTCATCTAACAGACTCTGAAACATAAAGTACACCTAACGTCTTTCCCATATTTAAGGAATAACAATTAACAAGAATACCTTCCATTCAGCAATTCTGGCATCAATCGCGGTTCCAAAATCATCAATGACTTTGTCCCTATACGATTGTTGATTCGCCAAGTCTTCGACCTGGGAAACGAGTGCTGCATTCTGGCGTTCAAGATGAGTTATATTTTCTAAAATTGAAGATCGAATGTACCAAATTTTAAATTTGTGATTTACTGCTTACAAAAAAAAATGTTTGTCATGAATTACACCTTTATACTCCACGTTTTCATTCTGTAGAGTGCTTAACTTCTCGGCCACCTCGTTCATGTTTTTTGTAGCGTCTTCCATTTCATTTTTGAATACTCTTAACTTCTCTTTCAAAGCGACATTTTCATCTTCCAATTCCTAAGCAATAAACGGGTACTACAAATCGTTACTTGCAGCGCCAAAATATGTTTGTTGGAAATGTAAGATGTACTTACCTCGAGTTCAGATATAAGCGTTTTAATTTTATCATTTCTTTCCAACAACAGATCTTCATAATTGGGGTTCACTGGTTGAGGAACTCGCTAAAAATATTAGTACATTAATAAAATACTCATTCAGATAGAGGAAGAATATCTGTATGAAAATACTGTTTTACCTCGTTGTACATGCTATCTTCGTTTACGAAATCCGAGGCCAATTGCTCTAAATCATAAGAATTAAGTTATTTCAACTGATATTGTACTTTTTTCAATTGTTCTATAATGGAGTAGGATTACTTACCTTTCATCGAATTCTTCGGCAATTGGGGAGACACGCTGGACAGTTTCTCTTTCAATTCGTCGCATTCTAACAGCAACGATTCAACCTGTCACAAAACGGCGGCGGATGTAACTTGAGTAGAAAATATATAAAAAAAAAAGAAAAGTCTCTGCAATCTTTACAAGGGTGGATTACCTGATTATCCTTGTGCTGTAACATTTCTTGAGATAGTTTCATAAGAACTTTCAAGTTGTATGCATCGTCTACATCGTCCACGTTGCAGCGAACCACCATGGGAAATAAATCCTCTATTTCTTCATCGGACAATTGCGCCGGCCTTATAGCCAGTATCCTTTCCCAATTGATTTGCACCATTTTCAGAAATATGATCCTTAGAACGGCTTAATTTGAACTTCTGGTCGTGTCGCCGACGCCGTCGCCAGTTTAACACTGACAGGTCGCTTGCCAGGGACGCCACACACAGGTATCCATGGCAACGGCGAACTACACCTGACACTCGATATAGCCGACGCGAGCAGGGCAAGGGTAACAGCAAAGGTAGACCCTCGTTCTCGAATTATCAATTATTCATCCCATTCAGTATAATGTGCCATTATTTTCAACGTGTCTACATAAATGCACCGTTCTATCAGTTAAACGAAAAAAACTGCCGTATCCAAAAACGCCCAACAACGATCACTGAAGATCGTTAATCATTAGCGATTCAGAATATACACGTTACACTATAATATCCCAGAAATTATTCAATGACGACATCAACTCGGCTGCTGTGAGAAATGTTCCTAAACATGATATCGCGTATTACTTAGTTCCCCTCCACTCCTTGGAATTGATATCTACCATTGTAAATACGTGTGACGAAATTCACCGACGGTATCAGATCGAACCAACACTCTCGACAGCTGGTATCACGGGGTTATAAAATTGTACATATATTAAGGAAGTGATATTGTATGTTAATCGAGGAAGGGGAATACTGTCGAACGAATGCCGGTCAGTCGTCGCCGTTTCTTCGCGATCAGAACTCATTCGACATGGTACTCAGCCGGTTGTATTCCAGAATACGAAGTGGTCGCGTTGAGCTACTTTGTCCGTTAATTTCATCCCAGACGAAAAATGATATCAGAGAGCTACACTTTACGTATCGCCCCGACCCCAAAACGGAAAACGCTGGTAATTGTCAAGATTACATATCGATCTTGCGAAAGTTCATCGCGTCGTGTGCCAGTCGCGGGTATCGAGTTAAAATTTTTTAATTGACGATATTCGCAATCACGGGTAGAGCTCTCTTAACCACGAACAAGACATAGTATCAATGTTCTAGGAACTCCTTAGAAAGCGTACCGTGTCGCGCGTTTGTTATTAATACGCCTTACGAGATGTAATAATCGAGGTTCGTTTTTAATTTCCCATTTTTAGGGAAGACCGAAAAATTGAACATGTTTCAAGCAATAAACAGTGGTCTTGGAATTGCCTTGGAGAGAGATCCATCCGCAGGTAAATAAGTACTGATCGACCTAACGCGATTCAAATTCAAAAATACTCAACGTTTAATTTATTGCATAAAAAAAATCCTTCGACGATTTTATAGTGATTTTCGGAGAGGATGTCGCCTTTGGGGGAGTTTTTCGATGTTCGATGGGCTTGCGAGAACGATTCGGAGCCGATCGCGTATTCAACACGCCAATTTCCGAGCAAGGCATCGCCGGTTTTGGAATCGGCTTGGCTAATGCCGGGGCAACCGCTATCGCGGAAATACAGTTCGCGGACTACATATTTCCTGCATTCGATCAGGTACTCCGACTCATAATTTATTACCTTTATTGATATTACGCGGATATCGCAAGTGAGCGGGTTGCTTAGAAATTTTCAAAATTTACCGTCGGTGCGACTACTTTGCCGACAGTTGGTGAACGAGGCTGCCAAGGTGAGGTACCGAAGTGGGGGAATGTTTGATTGCGGAAAGCTGACGATTCGTGCCCCATGTGCAGCAGTCGGTCATGGCGGGCTCTATCACTCGCAGAGCCCGGAAGCCTACTTTGCCCACACGCCGGGACTCAAGGTCGGTATCGTCTTGATCCGAATACCTACGCGTCGACCAACCTCGACGTAGTGCCCGCGGTGTCCGCCAGATGTCGACGGCGGCATGGCGTGACTATCGCCACAGGAGGGAAAATTTCGAATCCTCTCCCAATGCCGACAACTTTTTTCGCTTTCCTTCGTCTCGTCTCTGCGTGAATGCGGTTCGGTATTCCGTCATTTCGATTCGAAGAACTTTGAGAGGCGTTCGTACGGTACTCGACGAGAAGTATACTTGAAAAAGAAAGGAAGAGAGAGACGCGGCAAGGTTTGGCGCTCGCTCGGACGAGTCCTTGATACATCCTTCTTATATTTAGGTCGTGGTGCCACGTGGACCGATTCAGGCGAAGGGTCTTCTGCTCGGTTGCTTGGAGGAACCGGATCCTTGCATAATCTTCGAGCCGAAAGCTCTGTACCGTTTGGCCGTGGACGAGGTACCGATCGGTCATTACAAAACTGCCATCGGTCGAGCCGACGTGCTGAGAAAAGGTCAGTGACTAAACTCGGTGATCCGAAGATTCCTCGGATCGAGTCCGATGGATCGGTCGGTTGGTCGGTCGATCGATCGATCGGTCGATCCCTCGGTTACCCGATCTCCGAGTCCTCGAGAGGCGACGTGCCGGTCCTGGAACAGGATACGCGCGCGTAGACGCGAGCGCGATCACGACCACCTACGCGTAGGGACGTGTGCACGTACGACGACTACGAAGCGAGAGGTGGGTAACGGCCGTTATGCAAGGTGAAACGATTGTATCGATTTCGCGTAGGAGATGCCGTGACTCTCGTAGGCTGGGGCACTCAGGTGCACGTACTGCAAGAGGCGGCCGATCTTGCCCAAGAGGAGCTCGGCGCGTCCTGCGAGGTCGTGGACCTTGTCTCCGTGCTGCCCTGGGACCTGGAGACCGTCTGCGAGGTAACGTCTCCCGAGGCCTTTCCTTTGACTCCGGGCGTCCCCAGATCTCTAACCGAAACGCGTCCCGCGTTCCCACTTTGCCCGATCGCGTCCCGATCGCGGCCAGGCGGGATTTCGCAATTCCGATCCACGGGGCAACGTCGTCTCGCGCCGACGCGGCACTTAACGGATCCGGAGCGCATAAATAGTTATTACCAGCCAGGATCTGGGGCAACATAAATCACGTTCAATTTGATAGTTCACTTGGCTAAACTATGCCGTCAATCCTGTTGCAGTCCGTGAAGAAGACCGGTCGATTGGTCGTCACCCACGAGGCTCCTCTCACCGGGGGATTCGGAGGCGAGATCGCGGCGACGGTGCAGGTGAACGTACCTCGAGAGTCACCTCTTGAGTCTCTTGCGTCTCCCGAGGCACGCGTGCGTAATGCGTCCTTCGGGGCATCCTATCGATCACTCGCCTCCTTGCCGGTGAAGATCGATGGATCGAATATTTCACTCCTAACCGAGCCTGCACTTTGCGGACCCGGATTCCGACCGACTCCGAGTATCGCTCGCCGCGATCGGCGGCAACGGTATCCCGAGCGATTCTCCTTTCGGCAGGGGTTAGGTTACCTCAACCGAGGAAAAGTCCCTCGATCTAGATCGATTTTGGATCGAGCGACCGCGGACCGAACGCGCGTGCCCAGGAAAGGCGGAGAGATTTCCCGGCGCCTGGATCCCTTTGCCTTAAGGTGAAGTGAAACACGTCGAGGAACTTGATCAACGTCGATAAAAACGATTTTTCTAAATGCCTACGTTGCCGACGTTCGTTTTTATATTGACAGCTGTGTCGAATTATATTGTGTATTGTACCAAATGGCATATTCCACCTGTCGTTTTGGTACAATAATTATGAAGAAATCGAAGTAAAACTCCAGAAATCCTCTGGATTCGTGCCTTCTGGGCCCTAATTGACTGCAGAGGGACCCCCTGCGCCATGTGTGACTTCCAAGACAATTAAATTTTCACCCCGAGACCTCGTATTCCCATCGTTTTAGCATAGAAGCGCATACAACGCTTTTTTTGCCTTTATCTCGTTCAAATGCGAGTTTATCGATTACCAGAGTGTTCTAAATTCTCGTAAAATTGTCCTGACCCTTTCGATTCTCATATCAGAGCCTTCGATAATTGTATATTGATCGAAATATCAGAGCTCGACGCCATTTTGGTTCTGGTCTGGACGGAGTTAAAAAAATTTTTTGAAAAATCCAAATTTTTAACGTGTCAGGACAATTCTTAGCTGATCAGGAGTGATGTGTCAAAGTTTTGGAGTTTGGCCAAATACCCTTAAAAAAAAGTGTTGTATTCGAATCGACTGATTTAAAGGATGTTTCACTTCACCTTAACGAGACCGTTCTTCTGTCGCGCAGGAGGAGTGCTTCCTGTACCTCGAGGCTCCCGTTCAACGAGTCACCGGATGGGATACCCCGTTCCCCTGCGTCTTCGAACCCTTTTACGTGCCGGACAAGTGGCGGTGTCTCGCAGCTATTAAAAAGGTCCTGAAATACTGACGCCTCCTGAGGACGTCGGCTCGCAGGAATCGGCCAAACCCGTTCCAGCCATCCCGAGCACCGCTCGATTGACGCTCTCGTGGTTCGCCTTAATCGGCCCGAAGAAACCACCTTATCTCCGGCAATCTCCCATGGAACATGGCGAAGGATACCACTCGAGGTGGAATCCGGTACCCAGGATTTCGTTTCGACTAGCCAAGGATCCGTCGCGACATTTACTCTCTCGCCGATGCCGCAAATCTTCCAGCGACTCGGCGAAGGACGTTCGCAAAAGGATTCCAACACGTGGAAGAATTCGAGTAGGGTGGCACCCGAACCGGATCTCGAAATTCGTCGATATGTCAAGATCCCGTTGAGACATTGCATATCCATTTTTGTTACGCGGAAAGTCATGGAATAAAGTGTACGTTAAAATCCCCCCGGCGAAGGGGTACAGCTACAAATTGACCCGGACGGTTCCTTCCTGGACTTTCTCGACTCGATCGCGGCCAATCGGCGACGTTTCGCTCCTTCGTCGGAATTGACCGATCAAATTCCGCTCGCTCCTCGAGTTCTTCCGAGGCGTTTGCATTTTCCGACGCAAATCCTCCGCGAGTTCTTGCTTTGCCAGACGCGATCGCGCGGCTAACGAGCTCTCGTATCGACGCGTCGCGACGTCGACGAGGAACCGAGTCGGTTGTCGGAGGGGAATGCGAATAACGAGCGGCTCCTCCGAGGAGTCGCTCTTTTTCTTCCTCCTGTAGACGTCCAGCGGTCGCATGCGAACTCCTCGAGTAACTGGGTCGTGGTGTTCTCGCTGGTCCGCGAAGTTCTCCACTTTTTCGGCGACCCTTGGTCGAAGTACCGACTTCGCGTAACCGGCGTCGGTAAACCCGTATGCGCGTCGCGTCGAAACGCGATAGCCACCCCTGTCCTCGTCGCGGGTTCGCCGAGATACGCTTTCCCTTATCGAGGGCAGCGGCACGATAAGCGACATTGACACGGATGCGGCTCGCACGGCAATACGGTAAACAAGAACGCGAACGAGGCTCGCGCGTCGGATCTCGCATGTACTCGGTGTACCGATATCTCGCGACGACTCGAACTCCACCGCGTAAACGCCTAATCGGTCCTTGAGGAAGACCCGATCCGCCATACGCGCCGATTTAAGGTGAAGTGAAACACGTCGAGGAACTCGATCGACGTCGATAAAGAAGATTTTCCTAAATACCAACGTTGCCGACGTTCGTTTTTATATTGACGGCTGGGTCAAATTATATTGGGTAATGCGCTAAATAGCATACTTCACTTGTCGTTTTTGTACCATAATGATAAAAAAATCTAAGTAAAACTTCAGAAATCCTCTGGATTCATGCTTTCTGGGGCCCTAATTGGCGGAAGAGGGACCCTCTGCGCCATCTGTGATTTCCAGGTCAATTAAATTTTCACTCCGAGACCTCGTATTCCCATCATTTTGGCATAGAAGCGCATACAACACTTTTTTTGCCTTTATCCCGTTCAAATACGAGTTTATCGATTACCACAGTGTTCTAAATTCTCGTAAAGTTGTCCTGACCCTTTCGATTCTCATATCGGAGCCTTCAATAATTGTATATTGATCGAAATATCAGAGCTGGACGCCATTTTGATTCTGGTCGGGGCTAAGTTAGAAAATTGTTTGAAAAAATCGAAATTTTTAATGTGTCAGGACAATTCTTGGATAATCACGAGTCACCTGTCAAAGTTTCGGATAGTTTGATCCAATACCCTTAAAAAAAAGTGTTGTATTCGAATCAACTGATTTGAAGGGGGTTTCACATCACCTTAAGGAACGCGCGAAGGAAACGCGAGGAGATGCCGAGCGGACGAGCGCCGTCCGAATTCGAGGGAACCTATCGGGAAAAAAAAACGAACCCCCCGCGGCGACGGCGGATATATTATTATTCATGCGGACTCGATCGCGCTCAACGGCGGTTAACGGTTGGAAGGACTCGGGAAAGACGAGGGCCGCGCATAAAGGAAATCGTCGAGCCGCGGGTAACCACCGGTTCGAGTACGGAGGCGAGTCGCTCGAGTGGCGCCCAAAGTCGAAAAAACCCTCCACCGGCTGGAGGAAGTGTTGCGGAGCGGAGTGCGCGTGCGCACTGTGTATTTTGTAATTTGAAAGGGAAACCGCATTCTTTCTCTGTGTATTATGATACGTGAAAGTTGGCAACGGTGCACCCAGCCGGTCTCTGGCACGGACTATACCGAAGGTCGACCGGTTGCCTTTTATCGGTCGATTTTTTACCTACGTGGAGAGTAGCTCCGGCCGACCGGCCCCGCAGCGGATTCGGCCGATCGCGGAAGTGTTCGATCGCTAACCGGACCCGTCCGAGGGAGAACCGGAACGAGACTCGAGGCACTTCTCTGGCCACTCGTCCATCGATCGGCGAGGTTAATTCCTTCCCCTTCCTTTCTTTTTCAACCGGCTGCGTAACACCCGCATTAAAGTTTACACGAGGTGAACGATGTATCGACGCGTCCGCGAACGGGTGTAAACGGTATCGAGGATCAGCTAAACCACGTGACCAATGTCGTCGCGATAGCGCGCATCGATTCGAAATCCCGAAGCAAACGTCTTTGGCGGAAAGGTTCCTATTCCGAGCCTCAAAGTCGCTCTCGTAGAAGGTCTCGTAGTTGTCGAAACGGTGAAATTCTCACGCTGGGCCGACGGCTCCGAAAATTAAAGCGTACTCGCTGGCGTAACCTGCATTGAGCAAGAACGCGGCAACCGATCGACCACGTGCGCGGCGATTACTCCTTGCGAGCCCATGGAGCTAAAGAAAATTCGGCCATCCGTGGTCACGTCCAGGTGTAACGATTCCAAGGACCGGGAAGGACTCCCGAGGATAGTCCTTACGACCGTGCCCATCCATTCGCAAAAATAAAACCGGCGAATCGCTTCTTTACCGCGAGTCTCCGCCCGTTGTGGCGGGTATTTTCAAGTGTCGATTCGAAAGGTGTATCGAAGTCGAGCGATACTTCTTCTGGCGGTAAACCAAGCTTAACCAGTAAATTAGCATCGATCGTCGACTTCGCCCGAACAGGAATCCCGTTCCATTACGTTGCGTTACGTTACGCGCGGTAACGAGTGCGCAACGTAAGAAAGCAGCCCGATTATTTCTTACGTTACGCCCTACTCTTGGACGTAATATTACGGGCAACGTTACGATATCGGAAAAATTACGTCAAAGCAACGGCCAATGTTAGTAGCGGGTAACCGCGATGAGCGAGATTCTCTATAGGTACTTGGATATATGCTTTGACGAGGTATCGCCGACACGTAAGATCGATGTCTGGAAAGAAAAATTAGGTATACGGCAACTAGCTTCTTTATTGTCTAGGCGTTCTTTATAAAAGAAAAAAAATTTGAAATTCACAGGGAGTTGGTAACTCGAAGTCGCAGATCGTAGTCGGGTTAAGGTGAAGTGAAGCCCCCTTCAAATCAGTTGATTCGAATATAAAACTTTTTTTTAAGGGTATTGGATCAAACTATCCGGAACTTTGACACGTGACTCGTGATTATCTAAGAATTGTCCTGACACATTAAAAATTTGGATTTTTTCAAACAATTTTCTAACTTAGCCCAGGCCAGAATCAAAATGGCGTCCGGCTCTCATATTTCGATTAATATACAATTATTGAAGGCTCCGATATGAGAATCGAAAGGGTCAGGACAATTTTACGAGAATTTAGAACACTGTGGTAATCGATAAACTCGTATTTGAACGAGATAAAGGCAAAAAAAGTGTTGTATGCGCTTCTATGCCAAAACGATGGCAATATGAGGTCTCGGAGTGAAAATTTAATTGACCTGGAAATCACAGATGGCGCAGGGGGTCCCTCTTCAGCCAATTAGGGCCCCAGAAAGCATGAATCCAGAGGATTTCTGAAGTTTTACTTAGATTTTTTTATCATTATGGTACGAAAACGACAAGTGAAGTATGCTACTTAGCGCATTACCCAATATAATTCGACCCAGCCGTCAATATAAAAACCAACGTCGACAACGTTGGTATTTAGAAAAATCTTCTTTATCGACGTCGATCTAGTTCCTCGACGTGTTTCACTTCACCTTAAGATGGACCGCATCGAACAGAAGGACCGCGAATGTCAGGATTTCAGTCAGCGAAAGTACTCCGTCTTAATGTACTCGTTAACGAGCGATAGACGGAGAAAAAACATCGCACCGATCTTAAATATATAATTACAAGCTTATAAGTATGATCCGCATTAACCCTTCGAGTTACGAGTTCAACGCGAGTACGGTAAATTTAACGATAAACCATAACCGTAAATAATCGTTACATCGACGGCTGTCCGCAGGTAAAACACGACGTAAACGGCTGGGCTTTGAAAGAGGACGTTAAGAAGGACTCGACCGCGCATTCTTTCTCGAGAAAGCGGGGAATTAATTCCCCTGCGTACATCTTGCGATTACTTGGCAGGTAGTTGCCGGCACATCCGGCCCGGTTTTTACTTTTTACCGGTCGGACTTTCGGTTTCTATCGCGCGATGCACGACGTAAGCCCTCCCTCGGTCGATTTTATCGAATTTCCGTCGATCCCGAGGGCACGCTTCCGCTACTTTCTTGGAGTACCCTCGAGAGAAAACGAGAGCCAGGCTGGAAGATCGACGAGAACGATCGAAACCACGCCCTGACCCTCGAGGACCCAAAAATTGCCGATACTCTTGCGAAAGTCTCCGGCAAGCCTTCGCTCTTGAGAGATACGACGACGCGGTATCTTTATCGAGCATCTTAATGGTTACGTCGGTAACGCGGTAATCGTCCGAAAAAATTATGAGACGACCTCGCGCATGTATGCACGTGGTCGTATATCAAGCGAAGCAGCGTTTACCTAGTTGTCGAAAAATTCAATTCGATCGTTCCACCTGACGGATCGGTTTTAAAAACAGCGGCAGGAAGTGCCTCGAGGAGGGCGAATTTGACATTGAACGTCGATCGAACGGGAATTCGATCGGAAGCGCGAGACCGCGGAATCGGTTTCGAGGTCTGCGAATATTATTCTAAATACAGGTGTCCCCTCGAAATCCGCCAAGGTGGCTCATGTCGATTCGTCAAATTTTTCTGCAAACCCGGTAGCTTGTTCAGCTGAAGAGCGTTTTCTCGCGGCATCGGTACCGAGAGTTCATCGCTCACCTGCCGCACGTGTAGGCCTCGACTCGACGTCGACGACGGATTTTTTTTTCCTTTTTTTTTCTCTTTCTTGTCACCGACAAAAACGATACCTTGCACCGGCATATCGAAGGTGAATCGCTTTCGCCGACTCGCGTAGCCGAGTCTCGGGACCGGGAAATTATTCGAAACGCCCCGTCGATTTAACTCGACGCCCGTCGCGTAAAATCGCGCGAAAGTCAAGCATTTCGAGCATTTTATCACGTATCGGCGGCGTAACGCCTTCGCATATTACGGCAAGTATCTAATTAAATGCACGCGAGTGCGCGAGTCGCTTTGCGCAACTAATCCGCGCGAGTGATCTAGTTACTTTCGGAATCGCCGGCCACGAGGCTCCGAGTCTCGGGACATTTTTCTTCCTTCTGCAGCCGCGAGCCGTTTTTCTGCAGGCCGAGAAATACCGGACGCCAAATCCGCGGAATCGGAGCGCGCGGGGCAAAATCGCCGCGGACGAAGGAACGACGTTTTCGCGCTCGGTGAGCGATCGAACCGAAGAGATCTCCTCCAAAAAAGGAATCCTCGATTTTCGCTCCAGAGAAGTCGCGGAGTCGCTTCGACGCTCGGATCGCTTCCTCGCGACGACTCGTCCGGGGACGCCGCGGAGGACGCCTCGCGTGACGGACCACATCCGACGCGTCGCTTACGCAACTGCGTCGGATCTCCGTTTGATCGACGTCGCCGGAAGTCGATCGTTAAACTCGTCTCCGCGCGAGTCGTAGGCGACATCGAGCAGTAGCACCTGGCTCGGTCGATAGCGGAAACGACGTCGAACGAAGCGACCGGGCGAGGTTCCCCTGGACATTTCCGTCGAAACGGAGTCAGGTCTCGGGCGCATCGCGCATCGGCCATCCAGCGCCCTTCACTAACACGTTCCCTGCCGCAGGGGGCGTATGCGCCCCACGCTGAACTTTCCGTTCAATCCATTTGGTATTATCATTGTAAAATGAAGAATTTTTTAAAAATTCATTATGCAGTCAATTATGGGCATCTTAATACTATTGCTGATGCGCTCATTTGATCGTGGGGCGTATACGCTCCACGTGGCCTGAACGGAAAGTCTTCAAAAAACGGTCTGGCAGGGAACGTGTTAACTATCTAAACCTGCGCGGCGAGATCTAAATCACGGTCCG